TGAAAAAAGGTGATGAAAAAAAAAAGATGAAAAAAAAAGAGATAAAGAAAGCTTAAAAAGATTAATGAGATATTGAGATATTTATATTATTTAAATCATATACTCAATTACTCATGACGAAACCCACATCAAGATTATGTGTTACATGTCATTTTTTTCGCGTAACTTTTTATTTATATGAACGATATGAGTAATTATTGTTGTTTATGGCTAAATGATTAATATTTTTTTTTATCGGCTAAATATGACTATAATTAATCCTTCAATATAATAACATGTGACTGACGCAATAACTATTATTTAAAGTCAGAAGTGTTATTGTACATCGTCACGTGCTGAACAAATTAATAAAGTAACTATAATATAAATTTTTGGTCACGTCATGATAGTATTATGTCATTACTATGTCATTCCGCTTTTATAGCAAAATTACCGTTCTACGCCTCAAGGAGAGATATATGATGTCATGTGATTGATAAAATTAAAGGTCGGTTTGTCAATTGTATTGGTAGATTGTACTGAATTTTTTTTAACATAACGCAGGCCAAAATTAGAAGCTTGACCAGCATTATAATTTAACTAATAACCACGAGCGATAATTTAATTACCGATACTTTTCCACCAAAATATCAATGCCGATATAGAGGAAAAAAAAATAATCTAAATAAATACGCAAAAAATTAATATTTCAAAGATTTTTAATAACGTTCATATGTGTTATAATTATTAGTAATTTATAATATTTTTAATATTTTAAATTCCAATAATTAATATTTTCGCTTATATAATCCTGTCACCACTATAAAGGTATATAAAAACTTAAAAACTATAGTATAGATAAATTAGATCACAATTTCCTATTGTAATTATCCATTAAAGTATGAAATGTAAATATTCATTTGCATTAAATATTCTAAAATACATATTAATACATAAAAATTTATTCATGACTTATTATTCCGATAATTGTTTTTGGGTCCAAAATCTGACATGAACACTCTCAGTACTAGTTTGTTTAAATTCTTCAACTAGATTTTCTACCATATTTTTGTATTCTTCTTCAGAAATTCCCATTTCCTCACTTAAAACCTTGATTGACAATTCTGATTTATGATAAGAAAAAGTCAAATCTTGAAAAACTAAACCAATTTTATCACCATTTGGACCTATAATAAGATCTTTTTCAATTCGATGAACTTTTCCTATATTTGGTTGTAATTCAAATTTTGAATCTAGTTTATACACCAATTTAACATCAATATTTCGTTTTGAATATGTTGACCAAACTATGATTAATTATGAAAAGTAAAATTAATAATTTATAATACACATAATACATGAATTAAGATGAATATAAATATAATTACTTGCATCCGTCAATTTACGAAAAATTGGACCTTCGCCAATATAACCGTTACGTCTATCAGATATTTCAATGTATCCACCTGGTTTCGTTACTCTAATAAAAAATTATATAGATCAGTGTACGCAATTTTCATTGCAACGTCTCATACATGTCGAATTGTCGATAATAATTATTTTTCTTCTTTAAAAAAAAAAAGAAATACCTCACGAGCTCAGAAAGAATGAAATCCCATTGATCTGGTGTAAATACAAAGCTCATATTTTCTAAATGTGTAAAATCAAATTCGTTATCATGAAATGATAATCGATTAGTTACATCGGCTTCGATGAATTCAAGATTATTTGGTTTTATCTATCGAATTTTATAGATTAAAAAGGATCAAAATTTCGGTTTTTTCTTCATAATAAAATAAAATTTAAAATTTTATTACCTCTTGTGGATATATTGGTTTAATATCAACTCCATAAAAATAAGAATTTTCATATTTGTTTGATAAATCTAATAACCACGTCGCAGCTCCACATCTTAAAATATATATTGTCATAAAATTCCTCGAATATTAGAAATTATTCACTTTAAAGATATGATATCACTTACCCGACATCTAAAACCTTACACCCTCCTTCAATTAATTTATCTTCAACTGGGGAAGAAAATCTACTTTGAAATATATATGCTCTAAGAAAATGATATATATGTAATCTATCAATGGAATCGATACTAGTCGATAAATAATAGTCAATTAGTTTCTCATTTCTTTCTTTGTCTGATTCTATTTGGTCAAATTCAGGTATTTTTTTTATTGATGGTCGTTTATGTTTTAAATGTGATTTGATATTACCCATGATTTTAGTTTAAGTGAAATAATTTTAGTAATTTTTACTAAATAAGCAGTTAAACTAATTAAGATGTTTTTTCTTCGTCAAAAATAAAGGTTCTACAATTTCTATTTATACTGCATCGACGGTTTATTTGCATTATATAAGAATTTGTCAGCGATAAAAAGCCATATTGATGTTTGTGTTACTAAACTTACATATTTATGTTTTCACAAAGTTAAGTAATGTGTGATTATCAACAAAGGAATTTCCCGGCATGTCCCGTGCGTAAAGTAAAACTTTACATCTGTGATTATGTGATATTTACGGCTTTCAGAAATTTATAAACACAACAAATATTATAAAGATTGTCACGTACAGACGGTACAGTACGTGCATAATTATTAAAAAAAAAAAATTTTTTTAATTTAACCGGTTAAATATTTCCAAAATTTTTAATTGGTTAAATTTATTTTTTTATTCTAGTATTCCTTTACTTATTAAGAAAATATTTGTTTTTTGGTATGAAAAAATTTCCGATCGGCAGATTCAGGTGCACCGGCGACCATCCGTGTTAGTAAAATTATATGACAATCTGTTCTGTATACGATCATCATTTTTTCCCGGTTTTTCCATTTTTTTTTTTTTTTTGATTACGTAAAATAATGTAACGTATTTTTTGTAGCCCATTAATGACAATTGTTACCATTATAATTTTATATTTAAATTTTCATATAAACAATTTAGGAACCAAATTTATAGTATTGACCTGATTTTATAGTTTGTACCACTGATTATTAAGAAATACAAATATGCATTATATTCACGTAAGTACTTAGTCATCATTCTAGAAAAATAACATAATATTATAATATTTTCATGAATATTTTTTATTCTAATTACATTAACGATTAAGAGATTTTTTTTTTTTAAAATGGTATGATATAATACCAAATTATTTAAAATTATAAAAAATTAAAAAAATCGAAAAAAGGATGCCTGCCGATCTTTCGAAGAAATTAACGTAGACGACATATTAGTGATGTTGAATAACATATTTCGAAAATTTTTTTTTTTTTTTTTCACCAGTTGAAAATAAATTATTTGATACTCTTTTCATAATAATAAAATAAAGAAAAAGTATTTAAAATAATCTTTTGATTATTTCCATTAGCTAATTATAAAAATTATCGAAAATTCTAATCATAAGTAATTCTTACCACAAAATTTATTATTTCCAAATATTGGCTCATGGTTCATACTTTTATTTTAATAAATAAAACCATTTGTTATCACCGAAATCTATTTCACCGAAGCCAGGGATATTTCATCGAAGGGATATTTCGCCGAAAGGACGTTTCGCCGAAATACCATTTGATATTTCGCCGAAAAATTATTTATTTCATTTGGTTATTTTATCTGAATTTATTAAATTTATCTCGTTGTTCATAATATATTAATAATCTTTTTTTTACTTACTTTTTCGTGAATAAATGATTCAGGAAAATAATGTTATTTATTTATTTTTTAACAATTAATATCAGTTACTTGAATGTTAAAGTGATAATATCCTGGAAAAAAAAATCTAAAAATAATTTAATTTTTATTTTTCATTGCGCGATGAATATTTTTATAAAAATGTTAATCGCTACCATTTTCGGCGAACGTTCTACAAAATCAAAAATCAATGACAAAAAAAAGTTTTACTTTGGAACCACCTTATATTTAGTTAACATTGCAAATATTGAAAAATATATGATATATTCGGGATCATCCAAAAATCCCGACACCCATAATATCTACAGTCTATAATCCTGATAGTCTAAAATCCTGTCTGAGATTCGATCAGATGAATTTGAGATTACTTAATTTCTTTAATGCAATTATTTCTAATTTTAGAAGATAAGGAATAGTTTAGTAATCTAGTAATATACTGTACATAATCCTTTTAACTATTATGTAATAATATATTAACGTTAGTTAATTTGCATTAATATTAATAAACAATTTACATTGGTATTAATAAAATTTACAGATTATATTTTAATAATATTGAATAAATTAGCGCGCTACTACAAAAAAAATTTTGATATTTTGACGGTCAAGATTTTTTAACTGTCGATATTTGTGGCTATCTGGATTTTATTTCAACGGGATTTGGGTTTGTCAGGATCTTGGTGTCCGGATTGTCAGAATTTTGTGGTAAACCAGATATATTCACTCTTAAATTAACAAAATAACACAAAAAAAAACTTTTTTTGATATTTTTGTTTTTTGGCCATATTTTGGTTCTAACCTTTTTCTAGTAAATTTATGAAGTGTTTATGTCGCTGTTAAGTGTTTTTTAAGATTGTGCAAACATCACTCGAAGAGCAATGGTATTGAACATATAGAAGTACGACAAAATTAATTGTAAATTGCCGAAATAATAATTCATTAAGTTTTGCGAAGTATTATATATATTAAATATTAATAAAAATATATATATATACCAATTTTTATAATAAAAAATTAATATTTACAAATTTTTACATAGTAATAAAAAATATTTAGTTGTTTGCGAGTTGCGACACAATAATTAATTAATATATTAATACTTGCAAACATTTTAAAATTATTACACATTAATAAAAGTATTACTAGTATTTGTTACAGGGTGTTACAAATTATTACGTCTAAAAAAAAAAATAAATATAAATTATAATAAAAAAAAGATAAGTGTTGGGATAACAGAATTCTTCATTTCGTGAGAATATTTCAAAGTTTCATTGAAAAATAAAAAATATTCATTTATCAAAATAAAATCAATCAATCTAAATTTGGAGAAATTTAATCATTCCGATGTTCCCCAAACTTTTTGAAGTTTTTTAAGCTTCAGGAATATGCAAGTATTTGTGTAGAGGGCAATAATTGGTATTGATTATGAAAAGGAATATCTATTAGATTTAGGTAATATTCTCTAATTTTTTAATAGTTATGATTATCCAACATTTTTTATAGGCACTTATTGATTTATTCATCATGATTTGATATTTCAAAAAAGATAGAAACAATATTCCACCGGTATAAAAAAAGTATAAAAAAGTATAAAATGGGTATCTAATAAATACTCCATATAAACCGATGTTCCCTCTCTTCGGGGGCTCCAAGGCATCGGAGAATATTTCAGTTATTCATTGATACCCATGGAATAACAAGTATAAATTTTAATTCATAAATTATTTTTCCATATCTTATATTTCTGTGCTTATAAAAACTAATTTACTTTTCAAAATAAATAATTCATATTTTCAAAGATAAAAACATCATAAAATATTGGGAATTACTGAAAATTATTGGTAAGATAAACTTTTTATTAAAGAAATGGTTCGTATGTTTATATTTAATATTTAGCAAAGTAATCATTCGTATTAAAGCTTTAAATTGAAATAAGTAGTTATTTACTTTGCAAGTTTTAATGAATAAAATTAATGTGATTAAAATTTATATTTAATATTAAGATAGTATGAAATAAATAAAAAAAAAGAATTATTTAAATTACAAACTAAGAAATATGTAAAATATTTTACTACTCTATACTTAGTGTTTAAATAATTCTAATAAAATAAATAAGAAGAATAATTACTATTTGAATACAAAATATCAAATATCACTTAATACTACATATTATAAAAATTTCATCTGGTTTAATATCAAATAATTAAATAAATAAAAATAAAATAATTTATCAGTATATGTTACATATCCAATGATTCCATATCATTAACCATGCAATCCAAACATTCACTTTCTAGAATTTCATTCACTTTTTCACTAGTAAAATCAAGTAAGCGACTTGCATAACATGCTTGTGGATGAGGTTCAGCAATAGCAAGATTGTTATGCCCAATTGGTGCATTTATAAATTCCATAATATGGCTTTTTAATTCTTCATTAATTTCATCACCATAAGGATGGAAAATCCAACTTCCAATGATAACTTTCACTTCTAATGCAGTTGGCCTTTTTAACGGATCGTCATTCCAACATTTTTTCATTAAATCTATATAACATTGTGGTGTATTTTCAACAACTTTAGGACGTTCACCTTTACAAATGCTTAAACTAAGTTGAAGATCATGTGCCCTATCATATCATTAGCTGGAGTATAAGGTTTGCCTCTTAAAATTTCGGGTGCCATAAATGGTACAATACCATAAATATCTTCTTTTTTTAAAAAAGATTTAACAGGTCGACACAAACCCAAATCACTAATATAAATTTTATCCACTGTATTTACTTCATCATAAGCATTATCATTATGATTTAAAATATTACCATCATGAAAATCACAATGAATAAGATTTTTTCTGTGTATTTCATTAAGTCCAGAAATAATTTTATGTAACATATATAATTTTTGTTTCCAATTATTTCCAATTACTTTTCCTAAATTTCCTCTTAAATTACCTTTATTTGCATAATCCATTACCATCATATAATTCAAAGTATCTGGATTTTTCGTAAATCCATGTAAGTTAATAATTCCATAAAAATCTAAACATTTTTCATGACATTCCCACTATAAAAATAAAAAATCAAATACATACATCAAATACATACAATTAAAATATAAAAATAAATAAATAAATAAATAATGTATTATCATACTTCATTTAAAAATTCGTCCAAATTTTCATTCAAATTATTAAGACATTTGAGAACCACTTCTTTATTTCCATTTAACCAAATAGCTTTATATATGATACTAAACCCTCCTTTATCAAGATATTTAACATTTTTAAATTGATTGTAAGGAATCCATCTTAATTTTTTACCAAGAATAAATTTATCTAAAATTGTATTTCCGCTTTTTCCAAACCTATAATTCAAATAATTATAAATCAATATTAAATTTATAATAAATTATGCTAAAATTTAAAATTAAATACTCACTCTAAAATTTTATTATGAATATAATAAAATAAAAAATTAGTTTTTGTATAAATATATATAAATAAGTAACCTATAATTTATAACTTACCAACTATAGTATCAGATATATTTTTTTTTTAAACAAAGAATTTTAATTAATTGGAACTTTAAATAAATATCATATATCATAAATATAATAACAAAACCAACTTACAGGGGTCTAAAATTTTAAATGAAGAATTTAGCTATTTTAAATTACTGTATATATAAATTTTACTGTATACAAATATGCTGATAAATGATAATATAATCTTATAACTTACCAACTAAAATAAATTACCAAATAATTTTTTAAAGAAAGAATTTAGATAGTTTATATTTTATAATATGTAATAACAATAAATAACTTACCAGCTAAAGTAAATTACCAAATGATTTTTTCAATAAAATATTTAGTTAGTAGTTTATATTATATGTAAATACTGTATAAAATATGTTAAATAAATAACTTATAACTTACAATCTAAAATATAAAATAAATTAAAAATTTTTGTAAATATTGCAATATGTAATAATAAAAAATAAAAGAAATAACTTACTAACTATATTATTAAATAATTTTTAATAAAGAATTTAGTTATTTATTGTAAATATTATATAGGAAATATAATTAAATAAATAACTTACATCCTATATTATCATGTATAAAAAATTTCGTTAGTTTAAATTATATAAAAATATTAACATATGTAATAATTAATAACTTATAACTTACGATCTGAAATAAATTACATATAATTTTTTAATTAAGGAATTTAATCAAATTATTTAAAAATATTATGTGTAATAGTTAATAACTTACTACCTGAAATAAATTACAAATAATTTTTTAATTAAGGTTAGTTAGCTTAAATTATATTAAAATTTATATATCGATATGTTATAATTAATAACTTATAACTTACTACTATCTAAAGTTAAATTGTCAATCAATTTTAAATAAAGAATTTAATTAATTTAAATTATACACATATATTATATAGATATGTAATAATAGAATTAAAGAAATAACTCATAACTTACGATCTAAAATAAATTATCAAATAATTTTTTTAAATAAAGAACTTGGTTAGTTTAAATTATATGTAATAATATAATGCAATGTAATAATAGAATTAAATAAAATAACTTACACCCTATATTATTAAATAAGATAAATAATTTAGTTAGTTCTGTATTTCTACATAAATATTATACAAATATGTAATAATAAATAACTTATAACTTACGATCTAAATAAATGACCAAATAATTTTTTTAAATCAAGTTTAAAATTTATATGTAAATATATGTAATAATGAAATTAAATAAATAACTTACATCCTATATTATTAAATAATTTTTAAATAAAGTTATTCATTGGTTTAAATTATATATATATATATATATAATACATAATAATATAATTGAATAAATAATTTACCTTCTATATAATTAAATAATTTTATAAATAAAGAATTTGGTTAATTTAAATTCCATCTGATATGCAAACATTATATAATTATATAATAACAGAATTAAATAATTGTCTTACCTCCTATATCATTATGAAATAATTTTTTAATGAAGAATGAGTTTAAATTATTTGTATTAATATGAATAATGCGGTAGAATTAAATAAATAGCTTATAACTTACCAACTAAAATAAATTACAAATATATTTTTTTAAATAAAGAATTCAGCCAGTTTAAATTATATATTTGATATTATATATGCAATAGAATTAAATAACTTACCACCTGTATTATTAAAAAATTTTTTAAATAGTTAGCAGTTAGTTTAGATAAATATAGATATTATATAAATACATAATAATACATGACTTACCCCCTATATTATTAAGTAATTTTTTAAAAATTTAAACAATTAAAATTTTATGTAAAATAGTAATAATAGAATTAAGTAAATAACTTATATCTTACAAGCTAAAGAAATTAACATATATAAAAATTGAGTTAAAATTATATGTGAGTGTTATATAAATATGTAATAATAGAAATAAATAAATAACTTACAATCTAAATAAATTGCCAAATAATTTTTTTAAAGAAAGAATTAAGTTCATTATAAGTAGATATTATAATAATAGAATTATTAATTAAATAACTTACTCCCTATATTATTATAAAATAAAGAATTTAGTTAATTTAAATTGTTAAATATCATACAAACATGTAATAATAGAATAAATAAATTAATTATTATAACTTACGATCTAAGTAAATTACCAAATGGAAAATTTAACCAGGTTAAATTATATGCAAATATTGTATAAGTATATAATGCTAAAATAAAACAACTTACCCCCTATATTATTAAGTAATTTTCCAAATAAAGAATTTAGTATATGCATACATTGTATAAACATGTATTAATAGAATTAAATAAATAACTTACTCCCTATATTATTATATTATTGAGCATTAAGAATGAGTTAGACCAATTTATTTAAATAATAGAAATATAGATAACATATTAACTTACACCCTACAATCATTAGTTATTAGTCAATTAGATGTTAAAAATAAATTATATGCTGTATATTAAATATATAACTTACAATCTAATCATTCAAATAAAGAATTACAGTTAGATGGAATTACATGTAAATATTAAATGGATATATTATAATTGAATATCACAACCTACCATCTAAATTATTAATTATTAATTAAATAAAGAATTTAGTTATTTGAATATTATATAAATACAGTAAAAAAAGTGAATGATAACTTACTAACTATAGTATTATCATCATCAAATAATTATTTAATCATATAGAATATAACAAAAATAAGTAATTCTATTTATGCAAATTATAAGATAATCATTAACTTACGAGTTAAATTATCTAAAATAATTTTTTACATGAAATATATTTAGTTTAAATAATATGTGAATATTACATGAAATCGTATAATAAATAAATTATAATTAAGAAAAATTTTTTAATATTCAACTTGTTTAGTATATTATATTTACCTTTAGATTCCTTAGTACAAATTCCTTCAAATTCTTCAGTGCTACTTCCTTTAGATTCCTCAGTGCTATTTCCTTCAAATTTATCGGTGCTACTTGAAACTAGTTATTATGTTTGAAACTTGTTTTAATAATTTTAGAATAATTCCAATCTGTATTAAATATTAATGAAATATGCTTTACCTCTATCATTGCTGTAAGCCATTACTATATAACTGTATCAAAATTGTCCTTAAAAAATATTTTTTTTCTTTATTATTAATGTGGTAAAGTTGATTAGGTAATAAATGTTTATGCAAAACACAGTAACGGGTGTATTAAATGCATTATGTACAAGCTATGTCGATCACTAGTAACACTAGAATGTACGTCACCTCGTTGTGGCGCAGAAAATGTTCACGAACAGAGAAATACATATCATCATTTTATTTCTAAAATCACCAAATGTTAAATAAACGCAATTTTGGTTGCTTTGCAAGTTTACTTAGAGTGACAAAGGTAGTTTCAAAACTCATTTTTGACTTATTTGAAATAAACTTTTTTCCGGTTAAAATCCATTTTGGAAGTGATCGGCAGACGGTAGAAGCGATCAAAACCGGTATTAGATCTAACAAACTTTTAGAGTAGTTATAGATACGTCAATTAGAGCATTTTAAAACTTCTTTTAAATAAAAAAATACAGTATAACCTATCGCAACGGGTCTTGCCAGTATCATCACTTGGTTGAATAACGTAAGGACAAGGATTGATTGAAGTAAAAAAACTTTTTTGGTGTGAGTCTATCGCATGACATGACAAAAGGTGATGCTACACTACATGATGGTGAATTAATATCTTTTCATATTAAGTAACTGATTTCGGCCTTACTACATCATGTGAATTGGGATTAAAAGTATAATCCATAAATGTATGTGCTGTGAGAAAAGTTGATCCATTTTTTATATTTCATATTTCCGGAATTAATAACCTTATATCACGGAATTTATCAAATTATTTACATTTTCCGTTAATGCGGAGTTTTTACAGAAATAACGGGTAAAATTTTTTAGTTCATGATTTGAGTATATTAATACGATCCAATAATTTAGAGCCGAATCATATGAAAATATTTTTTTGTATGCGGCACGGTGGAGGACTTTTTGTAAAAGGAAAAAATGCGTAAGCCATTTACTAATTTGGTATTTGTGGCTTGAGAATTTACATTTGTGTGTATCTTTAAGATTTCATTGGTACTTATAAGATGATCAGCTAACTCAAACTTACTTCCTTTGATTTTCATAGATTTTGTTGTGAAATTTTTGTTAATGTTTTTTGACGGAGCGAAGGTAACGGGTTTAAAAAAAGATATAGTAAAGATACTTTTTAAAGAAAATATATACATATATTATGGGCGACAGCACACTATAAGGTATTATGCACAACTGTGTGGAGTTTAAGCGTTGTAGCAAAATATTCTACTAAAAGGTTTCTGTTTTACTGCGCCATTTTAACGAAAAAAAAAATAGCCGAGCCGTTGAAATCACATGAACCGTTACAAACAGAATATCCACGACGATTCCCAGCATTCCAGTAATGATAAATGTATTTTTCATAGATAATTATGTAATAAACAAGTTCAAACTCGCAGTAAAGTTTGAATACACTATACACTAAATATCCTAATTTACCAATTTATATACAAATTTTTATTAATAAAATTATACTAATTCTTGTTGTTAATAATTAAAGTAATTAAATAAATACATCATTATCCATAAATACACTCTATACACTGCTTTTTTTAATTAAATAAATTCATAAAATTAATTAAAAATAAATAAAAAAGAAGGAATAACTATTTGCTTCTCTTTGACCTTGTGTCCAAAATTTATTTTTCGCCTATATATATCCGTACAAATGAAAAAAAAAATAAAAAAATGAAAATGAAAATAAAGGCGCGCCGCAGCGTTAGTCCGATCACTGATCCAAACATAAAGGGGAAAGAACAAAAAACAAAAACTGTGAAAGGAAAAAAATATTATTAAAAAAAACCCAGTCATAAAAGAACCGGAAGGAAGAGGAAAATTTTTTTAATAAATGTTGAGCTTAAAATAAAAGAAAAAAATCTGGTTTTAAAAGACTGGAGAGCGAAAAAAATAATAAACCTGGTTTTCAAACCCGTAAAAAGGAAAGAAAAAAAATTTTTCTCGGTCCTTTAAAGAAATAACCAAAAAAAAAAAAATTTTAGTTTAATAAGAAACGATGGATAAATTCGGTTTAATGACATTGTTACTATCACAACCGAAACTGGATTAGTGTTAGTCACAGGACGTGCACATGACCTCAATAGCCAATCAAACTACATGGAATAGATCAGGCGCAGACAATTCAAGAGGGTAATCTAAACATCACAATTTTTTTAGTTATATATGTTATATATATATTAAAATCTTTTTTCTTTAGTATCATCATTATTCAATATATTTGCGTTAATATTGTCCTATTTGAAAATTTAGATCAAAATAATTATTTTCAAAATATGTAAACAATTTATAAATATTTTTCGTTAGTCGTTACCATTAATATTTGACTTATTCAAAATGACAAAAACACATACCGGAGATGACAACTCAAATCAAGAAAAAGAAGTATTCAGAATATATTTTTTAAAAGTAATTTCAAAATTAATTATAATTTAAGTAAAATTTATTTATTTATTATTTTGTAATAGTGAAATTAACATGACTAGGAAAATGGTAACCGTTATGAAGTCTGGAGCTTATCACGTTGGAAATGATATAATAACGTGAAAGGACAAAATTTATTTCGCATTTTTGGTATAAAATTTTACAAGAATAATAAAAATTCTAAAAACTTTACATCAAAAAATTTTAAAAATATTTAAAAATTATAATACGAAAGAGGTAAACCAACACATGGATTAATAGCAGATCGACGGAGATATTTTCATAGTATATTTGTAATACAGTATATGAAAGAACAAATTTTATATTGACTCAAAGGACAAATTCTAATATATTGCTAGTGCTCCGAATGATACGAGTCGACCCGGGTTAATTTGACCCGACTCGACTTTTAAATCGGGTCAGTACTAACGATTTTTAATGACCCGTGACCCGCATGACCCGACCCGCCGGGTCGGGTTATAAATTTCCTTGACTCGGGTTTGACCCGGGTTTGACCCGGATCGACCCGGATGATAATTTTGGCCAAAATTAAGCCAAGAATTAGTTTTAACAAATATTAACATAGCTTAATCAGAAAAATAAAAAAATTAACCTTGGCTTTTGAGAATAATATTTTTCTGATAGCTTTAGAATTCCAATTTATCTTTGATTTGAATATCTGCTAATTATTTTGCCTAATTCTTTGACTTTTATTATATTAAACAAGGTTCAAAATTCGTATTTTTAATTTTATTTTATTTAATTAGTCTAGGAGAAAATAAGAGCTAGTGTTACATGTTTTGTATAACCATTCATGATACAAATTTTAGGTGGCTACTAGTGGTTAATCACTAAGTTGCCTTTTTTTCAAATAAAAAAAAATTAATTTTGTTATTATTATAAGAAAATCTCACATAATATAAGTTAGTACCCATTTTACTTAAATGTTCGGGTCTAACCCGGGTTACACGAGTTAAATTATAGTCGGTCGAGTCAAGGGTCGGGTTACGAAAATATGAGACCCGAATAAATACGAGTCTTATATTTTTTTATTCAGATCGGGTCGAATATTTCCTCAAAACCCGACCTGACTTGACCCGGTAGGAGCACTATATATTGCTATAATGTATTGATCTAAAACATCATTTTATATCTTCCTAAGAACAAGTTCTAGCTAGAAGAATAGAAAAATGGTCTAGAGGAAATCCTGAATTCCTGATATTGATAAGTTTATAAAATATACAATGTATAAACAAAAATATACATGGGTATCGTTCGATAATTTGTAAATATAAACTAGAAAATGTTGTTTTTCATGTAGTTCTTACTGCTCAGTTTCTTCAAATAAAAAAAAAACAAATGGTAATAAAACATACATATTTCTAAAAGTGTTTTCTATTGTTAGCATATTTATGAGTTATTGTATCAAATGATCTGTGCTCCTTAGAATACTCTTGTGATTGGCAATTATTAGTGATGCCGATGACGATTGGTTTTAACAGAATTATAATTAAAGTAAAAAACCAACATTTGTTGAAATAGTTTTATTTTTTTTTAGCTTATTTTCATATCATGTTAGTAAGATTAATTATATAAATAATACTTTGCATTATTTAATGAAAAATTTTCAATATTATTAATTTTTTTTTTTTTTAAAAAAAAATCAAACTAATTAATTTAGGAAATTTAAATAAATTTATTTAATCTATATTAGTAATTTTCTTATAATTGATTACAAACTGGTCTATCTAATAATAATACACTATCCATAATTTCAGTGATCAAATTATAAACTAATATAATATTAAAAATTATTTAACATGCATTTCTTTCCAATAATTTTTCTAACTTATCTAATATTTCACAATGAGATTTTTCTAATGTTTCCAACTTACCTAATTTCTCTAATATCTCACACTGAGATTTTTCTAATATTTCCAACTTATCTGATTTTTCTTCCAACTTATCTAATTTCTCTAATTTCTCTTCTAATTTCTCTAACTTATCTAACTTATCTAATTTCTCATCATTAGATTTTACTTTCTCCAATATTACCTTATTGTCATCAGGATTATATTCAATTTGAAGTACTTTGAATAAAATTTGCCACATCTCTGTGAATTCCTTATTATCCCATTCACCATTTTTAATCAATTTTTTAATTTCTACTTGAGTCTTATCAACATCAGCATAATAATACCTTGAAAAATAAATTTGAATAATTAATAAAATCATATTTTTTTAAAAAAAAAGCAAAATTACATACATTACTTCCGGAAACCATGTTTCCCAACGTCTCTGATGTGGTAATAGGTAAAATAACTCAATCTCAGCCAAAATCTTTAAAAAATAAAAATTGAGAAATATTAGTATATTTATAGAAAATAGAATGATTAATATTAATATTATTTACTTCTGCCTTCTGTAACAAATATGAGACTCTATTATTATCTTCTTCAATTGCATTATTGAGTAATCCAATCAACAAGTTCATAAGATATACAACAACCAAGAGGGAAAATAAAACAATCAATATTGCAATTGATGGATTATCTGCATATGACCAATTGGATAATGCACTTGAATCACCTATTGATAAGAAAGAAGAATTGCTTAAAAATATTAGAAAATACTTATATATAATTATGAAAGATTTAAATATACTGCACCTGCTAAAAATAAATATATAGCAAAAAGCGAAGTTCTAATATCTATAAACATATTTGTATTTTTATCAGGCGTTTGAATCATAAATGGATTGGAGTTTATATTTCCATCATTATCAATTACTTGACTATAACTAGGAGCTAAATTCCAAGGATTATTCGGATCATCATTATTTGTATGTTCAAGTGAAAATTCAGATTTTGGTGATAATAAAATATAAAATGCATGTGCAAAACTTATTATAATAATGAATATGACTATTATAAAAGAAAAAATCTTTTTTCCAACACTGATAATAATTGCAAAATATACACCAAAATATTCAAATGCTCTAAAAAATAACAAAAACTTTATATCCAAGAATAAGCATGAAAAAGAAAGTAATTGAATTAGACAATTATTGTTCTTATCATTTGTTTGAAGCCAATAAATAGAAGTGTAAGTTGAAAGCACATAAGCAATTATATCTGAAATATTAAAATATTATATAATTAATTTCATTTTCTTAAAATATTGTAAATATATAAATTAAACATTTATATTTACCAAAAATATTCCAAAAATTATAGAACCACATAGTAATATTATAGAAAAGTTGACGAATTTCAAAAATCAGATGAATAAATCCAAGTATAATCGAAGCAATAAAAAGTTGTTCTTTAACTTCTTCATTGATATATTTCTGAGGAATTGTTGCAGCAGCAGTAAAGCATCCAAGTAAAGCCATAAATAAAATCCAAATCATTGCATAATAATGTTTTCCATAAGCATTCCATTTAAAATTAATTATTGCTTCACCATTCCATGTTTTATAGATATTTCTATTTATTGAGTTAGTAAATGGACTAGGTTGAGGTCTAATTAATTCTAAGAACCAATTATAATCTTTTGAATAATTAACAAACTTAATATAAGGAATCATAAATGTAATTGTTGGTGTTGTTGTTGTATATTTTTTAAAAATTTTAAAAATTTTCAATACAGTATATATAAAAATAAAAGAAAATGCATCTGAAATGTAAATATCATCAATAAAATTGTATTCAAATAAAATATAAAATGTAGCCAAATAAAGAGGTAAAGTTAAAAGTATTATTAAAGCTTGAATAGCATAATATATAATTAACAAAATAAATATTAATAAATTTGTCTTTTTAGCTTTGCGATCAAGTTTATAAAGTTTATAAAGTTTATAATGGTATTTTGTCCATAAAAGAGATTTCGATAAATTATCTAAATGAGAAAATTGAAAAAAAGAATGAAGATGGAAATTTTTATTTTGATGCTCTATACTATAAAAAGAAGAATCTATTATCATATTCGTTTCTGATGAATATTTTAGAATATATTCTGGATAATATTTATCTAGTAATGGCATTGCAGAAGTGATAATGCTTAAAAATGACTTATTGTTCATTGGATCCTCTTTAAAATAAGTCATACATTTTTTATAAATATCATCAATTAATTCTAACTTATGTTCTTTAATTGCAAATGTTAATAATTCAACTCCATATTTCAAAAGACTTGACTTATTATTTATTGCAACTAAAACCCATCCATTTAATCTAAAACCATCATAATTTGGCAATGGTAAAGTAGATTTTGAAAATATTCTTTTGTAATGTTGAACCATTTCCTTGTAAGTGTTATAATAATCGGCATTCACAAAATAAAAATAGTTTAAAGAAATAGATTTGTTATTTTCACTAAAAGTATAAATAAGAATACCAAATTCCGCTAATATAACAATATCATTATTATTAAATAATGAGCTCGCAATTAAATAATGATTAAATCTATAAGGATGATTTTCAATTCTCGTGCTAATTAATTCCCATTCAGTATTAATTTTTTTGAAAACTTCTAGTCTAATTTTATAATAATCAGAATATATTTCCCATTTAATTAAATTTTCAATTGATTCAGTTAATTCTTCTTTATAACCACCATTTGTTGTGACCTTTTGAAATAATGTAGATACAGTATCCATATATGGATTAAATGAATGAACATTTAAGTGATTGTAAGTTTTCTTGTCATCATCATCACATTTAATAACTTTAGTTTTTGACGTATTTTCGTAAAATTTAGATTTCCAAACACGTTCATTTAGAATTCCAAACACAAACTTTGTTTGATCATCAGTTGGTGCATCAGTTGGTTCATCAGTTGGTTTGTCAAATAAAGTTTGATTATCCATATTTTTGTATTTACTATTCCAGCAATATTTGATTTCTTTATCTGGTGTATAATAGAATAAAGAAGGTAAAAGAAATAGACCAGTATGATACATAAAATTATAAAGTTGAATATCTAAATAAAAAACAATAGTGATTTAATATGAGTAATAATTAAAGTATAAATAAAATTTATTAAAAATGGTTACCATCATTTATATCCAAAGAAGCAATAATAATTCCCAATTCAATTGAATAAACGATGATTTTATCATTGACTTTTAAAATATTAAACTTTTCATTACTGAATATTCCAATATTTTTTGTTTCAATCTAATAAATAAATAATATTTAATATATTTAATTATAATTTAACATCAATTGGTTTGAAAATAATTTTATAATATTTATTACCTTATTCTTATCCTTATTATTAACAAATATGTTTACACGTTTTTCAGTATTAATATTCCATTCACAAATGTAATCATTTGAAAACAAGTAAACTTTATCATATTTTGATATACTAATTACATAATAATCTTTAGATATCCTGTAAAATCTCTTACATTCCCATTTGTTATTTTTTGTTTGTGTGGAATAAATCCAAATAATTTTATGATATCCAAAATAAGTTGTAACTATACTATATAAAATAAATTCACCTTTTAAATTAAAGGTACAATACAATGGATCAATATTTTTATCAAAACTTAATGCAATTTTTTTATCTTCATTATTCATATCGATTATATTGATCATATAGCCTACAAAAAAAAATATTAAAATAAATATCAATTACCATAAGTTTATAATTACATAATATTACTCACCATATTTATTAACGTTAATATAAGCAAGTTTCTTATCATCAGAAACACATAAACAAATGATTTCATCTTCATTAATTTTAACAGTTTGATCAAATTTAAGTTGAACCTTATCTTTATCTTCAACATTCCAACCGACAATTGAACGATCTTTTTCACTATAAGTAATAAGGTATTTTTCATTTGGTGATATTGCTATAGTAGTAATAGGTTTACCATTATGTCGTCCATCATCGAAGGTGAATATTTTATCATCATTTTTATCGACATCGATTTTATCAACATCGATTTTGTCAGCATCATCGTTAATTTCGACTGAAATATCACTCATTTGGTAATTGCTTATAAATATATAAATTTATTGCCAAAGAAATTTTTTTTTTTTTTTATATCGTCCATTTGCGATTATATACTTTTTATTATTTGAAACACGTGTGTAAATATGCATGGCNTGATTTAATATGAGTAATAATTAAAGTATAAATAAAATTTATTAAAAATGGTTACCATCATTTATATCCAAAGAAGCAATAATAATTCCCAATTCAATTGAATAAACGATGATTTTATCATTGACTTTTAAAATATTAAACTTTTCATTACTGAATATTCCAATATTTTTTGTTTCAATCTAATAAATAAATAATATTTAATATATTTAATTATAATTTAACATCAATTGGTTTGAAAATAATTTTATAATATTTATTACCTTATTCTTATCCTTATTATTAACAAATATGTTTACACGTTTTTCAGTATTAATATTCCATTCACAAATGTAATCATTTGAAAACAAGTAAACTTTATCATATTTTGATATACTAATTACATAATAATCTTTAGATATCCTGTAAAATCTCTTACATTCCCATTTGTTATTTTTTGTTTGTGTGGAATAAATCCAAATAATTTTATGATATCCAAAATAAGTTGTAACTATACTATATAAAATAAATTCACCTTTTAAATTAAAGGTACAATACAATGGATCAATATTTTTATCAAAACTTAATGCAATTTTTTTATCTTCATTATTCATATCGATTATATTGATCATATAGCCTACAAAAAAAAATATTAAAATAAATATCAATTACCATAAGTTTATAATTACATAATATTACTCACCATATTTATTAACGTTAATATAAGCAAGTTTCTTATCATCAGAAACACATAAACAAATGATTTCATCTTCATTAATTTTAACAGTTTGATCAAATTTAAGTTGAACCTTATCTTTATCTTCAACATTCCAACCGACAATTGAACGATCTTTTTCACTATAAGTAATAAGGTATTTTTCATTTGGTGATATTGCTATAGTAGTAATAGGTTTACCATTATGTCGTCCATCATCGAAGGTAAATTTTTTATCAAAAGAAATTTTTTTTTTTTTTATATCGTCCATTTGCGATTATATACTTTTTATTATTTGAAACACGTGTGTAAATATGCATGGCTGTACGTAAAAAATCTCAGCCTCTTGCAGAAAAAAAAAAAAAATTTTTCTATTATGAAAAGTTAATCGAGTTTTTTTATTTTGAAACATATGCGTAAATATGTACGTAAAATTTCAGTCTCTTGCAGAAAAAAAAAAAATTTTTTATTATGTAGAGTTAATTGAGCAATGATCATCTTTCGAAATAAAAAAAAATGTTTTTTTTTGTACGTGGCTGTACATACAGATATATAAGGAAATCTCAAATGAAAATATATTTTTTTTAAAAATGAATAATCTGTTTATTTTTAAATTATTTATTTATCCTTAAACTATAATATCAAACATAAAAGAAATTATACATAGTAGTCTTGTATTAAAATACTGAGATCAGCATCATTGGAAAAATCCTTATTAAGAAATGTTGGTTTTGTTACAAAGATCGTTGGTCACGTGGCGGTAATAGGAAGCACACGGATTTCTAATTGTCCGACGACCGAGTCGACCGACGTTTCTGTAACTTATATTTAATATAACTTATTAATATATAACTTATATCAAATTTAGATAATTATAAATATCGCCAGTAATAAGAACGAATTGGATTTAGGATTAGTTTGATAATTCGATGGTTCCTTAGACATATTGCAGATCGCCGGCTGTGGCAGCAATATTGGTTTTCGTTTTATTACTGTCGTATATTCTTCTTATTATATTTATTCTATCGTTTATTTCATTATTTATTACATTGTTATTTATTTCTATTTTATAAATCTTATCATTAATAAATAAAGCATACATTTTTTTTAAAAGTTATATTTACTGTTACTATCACGTGACTAAACCGAAAGTGGTGGTAACAGTTTCATACTTATTATAAACAATTGATTAATAAAAATGTAGTAAATATAGAAATTAAGATATGAATACTATGTGTTACATGCCCACAATTTCTAAAGGTAAATGATATTCAAAATTTAAAATTTTTTCGGTATTATCCGAATCATTATAAAATTCTGTAATCATTTAGTTTCAAATTTTATTTTATTTATTTTTTTTAATTTCAATATGGAATCTACATATTAATAAAAAAAGGATAAATAAAAAATTTTCACTTTATATAAAAAGATTCTATATAAACTGTACTCATTAAAGATCACGAAAATTTTATCTTGCTTTAATATAAAAAATATTTTACTATAGTTTAATTTATTAAACAAAAAATGATAAAGATACATAAAATTAAAGAAAATAAATTGAATTATTTTAATACTGAACAATAAATTATAATAAGATAATTTAAAATAATTTAATTAATACAATGGTATTTAGTGTAAAATTAAGCTGTATGTGATAAATCATTATAGGATAATAACTTTGTCAAGATAATGACCAAAATTTGGATTGTCGGGAGTGAGCTTTCGAGATTATCGGATGAACGATCTTCGGGATTTTGATTGGATACCGAAACAAAGTAAGCTAATTGAAAAAAATATTAGATTTTATGTAAGTAATAATTTTTTATCTTTTTATCCGGTACCACGTCAAAAATCGTGTAAAAATCGCAAATTTTCCAAATCACGTGATACCTTATAAATCACTTAGGGATTATAATGTAAAATTTTAATAATTGAATAATTGTGCAACGTTACAAATTACGTCCGAGATGACGTTAAACTAGGGAACATGTGATTTACTAGATAATCTATAATTAGATTTGAAAAAGGGAATTAGGATCGGGGACTTTATATTTTAAGAAGGAGACTTGAAGATCTAAAAAGAGAGATTTCGTAGAGTTCATAATTTTTGATATTTGTTATATTTTTTAACATGAAATATGGTTCTGAGAAAAAGGTTCGTTAGGTTCGTTAAGAGCAAAAATTGTGAAAATGAAAATTTGAAAATTTGAAAATGGAAAAATCCAAAAAGTGTTTCTTGGAGAGTATTTTTAGATCATTATAAATAGCCAAGGATTCCGATTTAGTAAAAAGGAGAGATTTTTAAAACATTAATTTTATTTTTATTTATTTTTAGATATCGATATATTTAGTTAAGATGAACCAAGCATATTATTGTATTTATTTATATTATTAATAAAGTATTATTTTGTTAAGACGGTGGTGGCAACGTGAATTATCACGGGCGTTAGTCTTACACTCTTACAGGATTTACAGTTTATCATGCCGATTGCCGAATGACTGTTACTAATTATCAAACACGAATCTTGAAAATTTTCAGTTTTTATCTTCGTATCTCACTTTGCAAGGCAGTACTTATTATTTATAATTAGAAATTCAATATAAATAACTAACGATAATAATATAGAATTTAAATTGACATAATACATAATTTCTGTATTAATAGAAAAAATTATTTTATTATTTATTTTAAGATTAAACAATTTCCGATTTTTAGAATAAATTATCTAGTACCACGTTAAAGCAATAATGTTTTGTTTAGATCTTATGTATTTCAAATTCTATTTTATATACAGTGCCTAGAATAATGAAATATCTGCGATGATGGAAAAAAGTTAGTTATTATAATAATTAAATACTTATAAAATTAATATAGTTATAGTATATAGTAAATTGAAAATACATTTATATACTAACAAATATTATAAAATTATAATAGCATTCCAAAAATATATTGGTTCATCAAGGTAGTACCATCAAATTGACTGACCTTGGATTATCAAAGAGGTTTAAATGATAGACATTATTCAAAATTATTGGGAATTATTTCCTATGTAAACCCAAAAAAAATAATTGATCTAAAATATGTTAAATGGATAGAGTGATGTCTATAGTATTGGCGTATTGATACCCGATGATCCATGGATAATCCGCACCTCTAATTAGTGTTTCGATCCGGATAAAACCTCAAATATTTTAACGTGGGATTATGATTAAAAAGGTTACAAATTTCGGCTTTGAATGGACTATAATTTCGGCCAGAATTAAAATAATATTATTCCATAAATTTTTATTAATTTTGGTGGTCCCATCCTAAATTAACCGAGCCGGTATCCGGATAAAAACCGGATAAAACCGCTACGGATCGAGACTCTACCTCTAATTCATTCATGTATCAAATGTCCGGTGCTGAAGTAGAAGCTGGTGAAAACCTACAAAAATAAAGTAAAGAAACGTTAGAAACGTTTCGTTGAAAAAATAAAAATAAAAAACATTTCGAAGTATACCTTCGAAACGTTGAGTTCCGTCCATCCAAAGACGTTCCATTAGTTAACAGCACTTTTATAGTGAGAAGTGAGAACGTAGCATTTAGTATTTATTTGATATATGAAATTACAAAGGTCCTACTAGAGAAATCCCATTCCTGCTTACGTTAAGCTCTATACAAGCAAATATATACTTTTTTTTGGAATTTTGGGATGGAAACCAACTTTTCGTTCAACATGTGATCAATTGAAAGAAATTATATCTTCAATTGACGAAATTAACGAAAGTGATTTGTATAATATTGTACATGAATCACGGTCAAATATTGACGAAAATTCTAATGCTTCTACTATTGGTTTAAATAATATTATTACAAATAAAGTATGGAATATCTTGAAGCGTACCATTATTAGCAAATTACTAATAAATAGTTGTTCAATATATCGCTTTCATTCATTTTGACATAATTAATCGTATTTACGATTAGTATTTTTACAATGCCTGGTTAATGGGTAACATAATAACATTAACAGAATTTTATTATTTCATAATTCACATTTTTTACTTGGCATCTAAAAATATTTTAATCCATCAAAATAAATTCAGGGAATTAACGAGTTATAATACTTCTATTACTATTCTTAATGGTGAAAAGAACAACCTATTCCAAATACAAACCGTAAATTCTTTACGAACTTTTAGTATAGTTGATTCTATTGATTCTGAAAACAACATAAACGTATTAAATAATTTTAAATAAAAAATCAAAAAGAAATCATAATTTTTGAATGAATTTCTTTAGTCATTGAATCAGGAAGTACTGGAGAAACGAGGTATTGATCATTAATAATGGTACTGGGTTATCTTGAAGATATTGTTGAGTAATTCCTTCTACTAGTGAAAACATAATTTATCGATTTAATAATTTAATACACTCTAATAACAAAATCTAGTCGTATATTTTATAAACACTAATAATTACCTAACAAGGAAAGGTTTCTCTTTAACTTCCATACTTGGGTACCCATTTCCTCGATAACTAATCCTATAGCTATAATGGGTATTGCTACTAATTATATGGGATCCAAACGCGATGTATAAAATCACGTGATACCGGCGATGATGCCGGTGATAAATAGCAAAATTATAATAAAAAAAAAACTATTAAAAAATTCTACTTAATTATTAATATTATAAAAAAAAGAAACAAAATAATGTATTCTTAAAAGATTTAGGTAGATAGATTTTGTATAATCATAAAAATCTTGAAATCTGATTTTTCAGCCCGTTCCCATATTCAAAATTTACATTTTTAAAAAAAGAATGAAATATTATAGCTAGTGGCAATTGCTAAACGTGGTAAAATGGGTTATATGTTATATTCACTGGCTATATTTTCGCCTCTAGTTCCATTGATTCTGGCTGGTGAACCGGGTTCGATTGATCAACATCTGGAATTTTTTGATTTGTAATCATTTGTAATCATCCGGTCCCATGTCTTCTGCCGTTTACATGGAATCTGAGCTAATTCCACATCGGACCTGGGGCGAAAATCAGTATAGCCATATTCACTTTGATACTAATTTAAGTAAATTAACATTAAAAAATAGCAAATGATATAATATCAAAGGCGCACAAAAAGTGTTTATTGTTAAAACCAGTCGTTATTGACGAATGTGAAAATGTTTCCTTAAATTGACTGAGTAACATTAAAGTTTAAAATATTTTCATCGATTCTCAGCCATCTAATAAATATTAAATATAATTTTAGAACTCCATCAATGAAAAACAATTTTATACTCACTAATTATTAAAGGCAACAAAGATAGTGTTTTATTTAATGCATAATTTCTAAAAGTTGTTCTTTTTTTAGTTAGTATGTGTAAAAATTTTTCATTTAATGATTTCATTAAACACTATTTTAGGTTTACGCTACAATCAGAACATTTTGTACTACATAAAAATGCACCACGCACGTGTATGACTGCGCATCAAAGTGCACACAAAAATAGACTTTATACTATTTTTTATTAACTTTATTTTAACTTTGCAAAATTATAATTTGCTTCGGAACCTTTCTTTCACTCAATTTTCTTTAAATTAATGAAGTGAAGACGCGGGGACGATCATCATTTCCACAAATTTTAGGAAAAATGATAAAACAAAAAACGGAAGAGTTATGTTAGAGTAAATTTTTGAACCAGACAAATGTTACCAACTGTTTATTTACTCTTTTACGGACGTTTAGAGTCGATTTTCGCACTAGGTTGATAAGAAAAAAGCTTCTTCTGAGAAAGTCTGTCACAACTGTCAAACAGCTTCAAATTTGAAGACTCTCGCTAACAATAGTACTGTTGGTTCACGGAAGTGATGACAGAGTTCATACCTCCACTTTGGTCTTGTCGGCAAGTGGGTTTTTCTTCTCTTCAATCTTTCGGTCTTGGGCGACGCAGTACAAATTTTGAGGTGGGACTATCAAAAAGGAAATTTATGAAATCTCGGGAAACCAATTAAATTGTATGGAAATCGCATCATTGGATCGTCGGCTAGTCGTGCATAACAATAGTCCCAAATATATTTTTGTCGTGAGGACTAATACAGGACGTACGTGGTGTCTGAGTGCCTTGAGGGGTAAGAGTATTGGGTATCTGGCAGCTAGCGGGAGTTTCATTGTTTAGTGGTTGTTTATGTTGTTTCTTTTTGTTTGTTTTTTTTCTCTTTTGTGACGATCTATTATAGATTTAGTTCTAGATTTTGATGCGATGTTTGGTTTAATGTTGTTTATTTCTTTATTAGCTAGGAATACTTTATACCTCATTTTATTATACGGAGATTTTGGTATGGGAGAGATTAGGTTAAATTAGTTTAATTTGACTTGATTTCAAGTATTTCTGTATGTTAATGTAATTTGTTCTTTTACAATTGTTAATAAAGAAATACGTTTATCAAAATAAAAATAAAATAAAAATAAAGTTATCTATAATAAGTTCTTACTAAAAATGGATGGGGAAATAAATAATGAAGAAATTGATAATGAAGATTAAATAAAATCATATGTTAATTTTGTTATTATTGTTAAAACATAATGCAACTTTGTGTAATACATATTAATTATCACGCACTACTCAATCATGTGCATCATGCAGTGCGTATGGCATCACGTGCATGAAACCACCCAAAAATGCGAATTTTTTTTGCCCATCACTAAATTTGGTTGTAAATGAATTTTAACTAGCACAAATTAGTCTAGTCATAAAAAAGAACAATATTAATAAACACAATGAAACGCTGATTACTTGTAACACAATCAAATTAGATCTGCTGATCTTCTCATGATTATTGTTTGAAAGACAGTTGTTTCTTTCCTTAAAAAGGGGTCAAAGAAACAAAATGATTAGGTTTTATTATCCACCATTTTAAGTTTAAGTTTACTGATTTTTTTTTCTTCCAATAATAAACAAATTAGATAAAGTATTTTTGATTGAATGTCCTAGATAAAAAAAAAATTTTTTTTTTTAATCCTATTTTACTATAAAAGGGTTTAAATTTCAAAATTTTTTTTTTTGTGTGGGAAAAATCAATATGCCCAAAAAAAAGCAAAAAAGCAGAAATAAATTAAGAACGGAGGAAAGAGAAATAGAACGCAGAGAAAATTATTCAATATCTGAAATAGTAGAAATAGTATTCGAACTGGAAGACAAAATCAAAAATATGGATAATAAATCAAGAACGGAGGAAAGAAAAATAGAACGCAAAAAAGATTATTCAATATCTGAACTAGAAGAAAAATTATCCGAACTGAAAGTCAAAGTCAAAAATATTGAACATAAGGGTAGAAGGGGTAAAAATAAGGATAGAAATAAGGGTAAAAAAAGAGCAAAGAATGAATTTTCAGAAGAAGACAAAAAAATCATTGATAATTTAAATGAAAAAAAAGTCGCCCATGATATACAAACACTCTTAGACCTTCATAAAAAACTGTATAGTAAAGAGGGAAAAGAGGTGAAACAAGGAAAGAATGGCTTTTTCATTTATCAGCGACTTGTCAAAAAGGTAGTAAAAGAATTTATTGAAAAAAGCGAAAACGAAAAAAAAATTAGCCTTAAGGAAAATGTTCTCACTCATTATTCTGGAAAACTGTGGAACGAACTCAGTAATGAAGATAAGGCTGAGTTTTCCAGTCTTATGGACAGACCTAAAAAAGGAGAAACAGTGTTTGTCGCCAGGTACAGTGCTCCTGAATGTATTGTTATCAATAGTGATAGTGAAGATGATGTAAAGCAAAAAACTGGTAATTTAAAGCCTATTATAAAACTCCCCTTCCCTTCGATTTGTACTCAAATGCCACCATACCAAATAGTTACAAACAAAACTAGTAAATATAAATCTCTTACGGACCAAAAACAAATATTAGACAAACAAGTACGAATCTAAAAATCCCAATAAAGATAGAAAAAAATTGATCACAAAAAAATTCACAATCCCAATTATTTTTTGCTCAATTAGGAAGTTTCGATTTATTTTAGTTCCATCTGGCAAACCTATTTCTTGTTTACTTTTTTTTTTAGAATTTTTTACATATAAATATGTAAGACATTTAATACGAGATTTTTCTACCATCCAAATTTGTTCTTATTTATACTCGTTATTCGTTAACATAAAATTTTCTTTTAATTCGTATTAAAAAATTAAGCTATTTAAAATAAGATTTTTTTCCTTATTATGTTTTATTTTATCAAGTAAAAAATTAATTTAAGATTATGAATTTTTAAGTTTTATAAAATATGTACTTATATAAACTTTAAATTTAACCTATGTGAGGCAAAAACATGAAAAAGCGGAGGCCATATCTCAATAATAAACCTTAGTGGTAATAAAATTTTGGTGTGTGAGGGCTGTTATGACCCAGCTGACCCTCCAAAAATAATATACATCGGAAAAGATAATACTAACGAACAAAATAAAATCACTTCCTACACTAAAGTCAATGACAGTAATCCTTCTGAATACATAACAAATGAAAATGATGCTGTATCTCCAGATATTGATTATTACCGCAAAATGTTTGATAAATAAATCAGATTATTTAGCCGCCCAGAAGATACTAGAATAATAATCACTGATCGAGGTTCAGCCAAAAGTAAGAATACTGCTATTTATATTCTAGCGCGTATTGCCAGTGACCCTAATTATGAGGGCTCTTTCCTAATGAGGAATTGAAATTTTAATTATAATATTATAAACAACCTTTATAATTAAATAGGATAAATACAGTTATTACAGTTTATCTTACAGCCAAATAGGATTAGGACCTGTGATGTTAACATATACAATAATTATCGGTTATATTGTGGACTGTGGAGCTTTACGCTTGCTTAAATAATTCACAATCTCGAATTTGTAAAATTTAAAGAAATCCGCTACAAAAATTTAAAAGAAAAAAAACATTTTTATACGAAATGTCTGAATTTTTTTTTTTTGAGATCAGAGTATCGTATAACTATAATGAATATTTATTACTAAAACATTTATTCCACCCATACACATTCTTATTGTTGTCCAGTAATGTTGTCCGGTAATGTTGTCCAGAAATATAGTTGTCGTCCAGATGCCAAAAGCTGAATAAGCAGATGGGAGGTATTCCACCCCATACACATCTTACCTTTAAAAAGTTTCCTTCTTTTAATTTCGTTAAACTGTTTCATTCGAAATAATTTCTTATATCATTTTTACATAATGCTCTGAAAGGACGATATTTTTGTTTGAGATTTCTTTTAGGCATTTTTCATTTTTGTTGAAGATTTATTTTGTTGAAGATTTATTTTTGAAGATTTATTTTTTCAGTTTGAGTGAATTGAATGTGTCTTTAAATATTAAATGGAAGTTAACATATGACTCATTATTATAGTGTTGGAAAGTGACATAAAATGACACAAATGATCTAAATGAAATGTCATATGTCATGGAGAGCAAATATTTGTCATAACTGCGGCATTTTGGTGTTAGTCATTTACCTTAGATTATATATCCCATGTGCCCATCGTAGCATTTGTATTATCAAGAAACCGTTGGCGTTGCAATCACCACGCCAAATACATACTTAACACAGAAGTTGGACTTCAACCTATACGACTTACCAATAACAGATATGAACAAACCTTATCGGAAGTTGATCGCCCGAGAAGCAACTGTTTAAGTTTGGAATATATATTACTATCAAACGTTATGATAATAAAAAACAGTAAAAAATGGGAATTTCGAGAACCATACAATTATTTCTTTAAAGAATATAAAACTTTAAATTTGATATCGTCAGATCACAAACCCAAATTTCAAGTTGGAACCGTATACCTCGAATCAACAATCATTGATGAAAATGACACTCATACCTCTGGGTCTAAGAGGACGAGTGATTACCATCTCCCGTCTCTCTCCATGAATAGACCACCTTTCATTAGGACAATAATATCCCTGATAGAACTAGTAACTGGTCATGCCTAAATAGTTTGAGGTTTGTTTTTTTAGGCGAAATGGTCTTATTCGTGGATTAGGTTTCAACTTTTAGAATGTTATATTACTTTATTTTAGAGTGATTGCTACATGGTGTTGTACCTTCGTTCTGTCATATTAAAAATAAATTTTTTTTCAAAAATCTTTTTTTAAGTTTCGAACAAAACGAAACTTATTTTTTAAAAACTTTTTTATACATGAAGTTTCGAATTGAAAATGACATGACAATTTGAAATAATAATTAATCTTTAATAAATTGACATTTTACTAATATTACTTTAAAAAATAATTCTCTTTTTAAAAAAAATAATAATATAAATACTTAATAAATAATTAGGTTCATTAATTTAAATAACATTATTTTTAACAATTTTATTAGTAAAATTTATGGTTCGGTCGGTGATTCTGATAGAATCGTCCCCAATACTCCCATCCTTAATTATTAGTTGCACGTTTTGTATAAGTGTCATATTATTATTTTAAAAAGTATAAAAATAATGTCGTAATCATGCAGGAATATTTGATAAAAGTATATTAATTGTATAAAAAAACCATGTCCATAGATGTATACCAGTAATTAGAATAAAATATTCAATTATTAAATAGTTCACTAAATCAAGTGATTTTCTTCCTCCAATTTGAGCAAGAATAAATTTTAGTGTTAGATTCTCTCGTTTATTGTGAATAAATATCCTGATATATAAATACAAATTAGGCAATTAAATATAGTGCTTTACAGACATTATATTATCTTCTTAATATAAAGCTTAATAAAGTATAAAATTAATTCTCCAACTTTATAATTTATAATTTTGACTACACTTTTATGATTTTATTCAAAAAGGTGTTTGTACAGAGAAATTCCTTTGATAACTAATTTCAAGAATAATAAACCTTCAGAGCAGCCAATGTTATGTTTACATAACGATTTTAAAAGTACGGTTCAATTCAAGATCGGATCGGATTGATCGAAAAAAAAGTAACCAATCAGATCAAAGGTGCAATTGAGTACAATTTTAATTGATCGGATAGTATTTACGAATATGATTGGCTTTTAAATCCGGTCATAAAATTTACTTTTTTTTTTAATGAATCGCAAAGACAAAATTTGTAGGGCACTATGGTTACAAACCCTTTTAGAAGATGAAGCTGAAGGAGAAGAGGAAAAGGAGGGGATTTCAAGTGAGGAAGATGAAAATATTATTATAAAAGCTACTTTATTACAAAGATTAAATACAAAAGGAAATTGCTAAACATCGCACTGTCTTTTGATTGGCCAGATCGGCCACATGATCGCATCGAGGGTTCGTTTCCTCAGTTCTTTCGGTCTCAAGATATTTTTTTATTTTTATTTCTTACATTTTTACACTTTGTTTCTTACTAACTCTATTTCATTATTTTTAGGTCCTTTAGTCCTTCCGGTTCTGCAATTAAGGTTTGGTTGTTTTGTTGTTTTTCACTTTACGTTTCGTTTCTTACTCATTTTTCATTTTTTTTTTATTTTGTTTCTATTTCATATTTCCACTAATTTTATTCATTTTTTTTAGGACTTCTAGTTCTTTCGGTTCTACAATTAATAAAGGTATGTTTTTTAATTTTATATTTATTTTTTATTATTTGTTTCTATCTTGTATTTCGTTTCTTACTAACTTCATCTTTTTTTTACTTTATGGTTTTATTTTTTACTTGGTTTCCTATCATTATCTTTTGTTACCCAACCTTCCATCATGATCTTTTTTTATTTTTTGTCTCTCATCATTTTTCACCTCCTATTACTTCTCATTATTCCATCCTTTTCGTCTCTCATCACTCTTTCGTCTTTCATCACTCCTTTTCGTCTTGCCATCACTTCTTTTCGTCTCCTACCTCTTCATCTTCTTATCATTTCTTTTCATCTCTCATCACTCTTTTTCATCTTTAATCACTCCTTTTCGTCTCCAATCACTCCTCTTCATCTTCCCATCATTCCTTTTCGTCTCCCATCAATCCTCTTCATCTTCTATTACTTTCCATTACTTCATTGTTATTTCATTTTTTATTAGCATCTTTCTTCTTGATCATTGTAATTTACTTATCTTTTTTATTTATTGTTATTGTTTCTTTTATTTGTATCACTTTATTAAAAATAAATACAGTGATTTTTTTCTTTAAAATCGTAAATGTGTGACTTAAATTTTAATATTTGTAAATAAAATTTTTAGATAAGATTATTTTGAATAAATATGTTTGCAAAAAATTTTTTAAATATTTTTTGCGATAAAATTTTTAAAAAATCAGCCGTCAGCCGATTATATATTGTACATCATGTGACATATTTGAAAAAAAAACGACGTTTAACAATTCTCAATACAAAATACTTAAAACCAAGAATATATCGTGTAGTAAAATCAAAAATGTTGGTGGCAGAACGTTCTTCCATTTTATGATCCTGGTCGATTCAAAAAACTATTACGAATGTAGTCCACAGTATGCAATTAGCTGATCTTATACGCTTCCATCCAGTATTTTCAGTAAGAGGAAATAAATCTCAGGCTTCTGTTGAATTTCAACTAGCCGTATTTCTTTGTAGACTTGGATCTAATGGAAGTATATTAAAAAAATTTTAGTTAGTTAAGACGCGTTGAAATATTATTTGCATCGTGGCGAACACCAATCGACCGATCGTGGTTGACTGACCGCTGATCTTTTTTTTTTTTTACCAATCATATAAGGGTACATTTTGCGTCCGACCTAGGGCTTAGTTATTTGTGATCAACATAATGAGTATTTTGAAACTTGTAATCTGCATATCCAACTAATAAAGACGTTTAATAAAAAACACAATTTTTTAAGGAAATTTTTGATACAATTATACAATAATGATTCAAGGTAAAAAGAATATATCATGAATATTTAATAAAAATTAGAATTATTCTAAAGTTATTAAACCAAATTTCAATATAATAAAAAACTAGTTCCAAGAAGTACTAAAAAAGATATACTAAAAGCTATTTAGTTATTATAATTTACGTGATAATCAAACTAACTATATTTTATTTAAAATTATTTTAGCTTACTTCGTACAATTTGTAAGTTAATAGTTATTCTATAATTAGAATAATAATGGAATTACTTATTTTTGACATATTCTGTATATTTGATGATCAATAATACTAACTTTTTTACTGTATTTAACATTCTTCATTTAATAATATAGATCGTAAGCTATATATTTAATTCTATTATTATTTATATATATATTATTACATAATTGTATAATATCTGCATGTAATTTAAACTAGCTAAATTCTTTATTTATTTATTTAATTCTATTATTACTTATTGTTGTAATATTTACATATAATTTAAACTAACTAAATTCTTTATTTAAAAAATTATTTAAATAATATAGTGTGTAAGTTATTTATTTAATTCTATTATTTATATAATATTTACATATAATTTAGACTAACTAAATTCTTTATTTAATAGATAGATAGTAAGTTACTATTTATTTAATTATATTATTAATTGTTGTTATAATATTTACATAATAATTTAACTAACTAAATTCTTTATTTAGTAGGCAGCAGTAAGTTATAAGTTATTTAATTTTATACATATTATTAAGTAATATACGTGAAATGTTGCCATTGTTTGAAAGGGGTTATTAATTCTTATTAAAAATTATTGTTCATATAGCTAGTAAGTTACTATCTAATTCTATAATTTATATAATGATATTGACATAATTTTAAACTAACTAAATTCTTCATTTAATAGATCGTAAGTTATCTAATTCCATTATTACATATTTTTATAGTATTACATATAACTTAAATTGATAAAATCCTTTAATTAAAAAATTATTTAATAATATAGGGAGTAAGTTATTTAATTTACTATTACATATTTATATAATATTGGCATATACTAATTTAAACAAAATTTTTTATTTATAAATTATGTAATAATATAGCTTGTAAGTTATTTATTTAATTCTATTATTACATGGTTATATAATATTGCATATAATTTAATTTTAAAAAATTATTTGATATTTATTTAGTTAGTAAGTCATAAATTATTTATTTAATTCTATTATTGTATATCTATATAATATTTGCATATAATTTAAATTAACTAAATTCTTTTATTTAAAAAAATTATTCAATAATATATAATGTATATAGCTTGTAAGTTATCTATTTAATTCTATTATTACTTATTTATATAATATTAGTATATAATTTGAACTAATTAAATTTTTTTATCTAAAAAATTATTTAATAATGTAGCTCGTAAGTTATTTTTGTTCTATTCTTTCAGTATATTTATATAATATTGATATATAACTTAATTCTTTATCTAAAAAAAATATTTTATGATATAGCAAGTAAGTTACTTATATAATTCTATTATAATTAACGTAATTTAAATTAATTAAAATCTTTATTTAAAAAATTATTTATATATAGGGAGTAAGTTATTTGTCTAATTCCATTATTACATATTTATATAATATTTACGTATAACTTAAACTAATTATATCTTTTAATTAAAAAATTATATTTTAGTTGGTAAGTCATAAGTTATTTATTTAATCTTACTATTGCATATTTATATAATACTTACATATAATTTAATTGTAATTCGCAGTTAGTAAGTCATAATCCTACTATTACACATGTATATAATATTTACATATAATTTAAACTACTGACTAACTAAATTCTTTATTTAATAAAATTATTAAATAATATAGGTTGTAAGTTATTTATTTGACATATTTTTATATGATATTTAAATTAACTAAATTCTTTAGACTATTTATAAAATTTGAATTTAGATACTTGTAAGTTATTTTATTATAACATAATGTAATGTTTATTTTCAGCTTTATTAACTAAATTCATTTGAAAAACTCAAAAAAAAAACTTAGATTCTTGTAAGTTAACTTTATTAGTATATTCATGTAATAATAATTCTAGTTTAATTAATTAAACTCTTTATTTAAAATTTTTCTGATACTTTAGTTGGTAAGTTATAAATTATTGATTTTTATATATATTATATAAATACTAAGATTTTAATTTTATTATATTCCTAATTAAATTTTAGAGTAAGTATTAATTTTATTTTTTTTTCTTTAATTTTAACAATAATAACAATTTCTAATTATCTATAGATATGAAGAAAAAAGTGGAAATGCAATTTTAGATAAATTTATTTCTGAAAGAAGATTAAAATGGATTCCTTGTAATGAATTTAAAAATGTTGAATATCTTGATAAAGGAGGATTCAGTATTGTATATAAAGCCATTTGGTTAGATAGAAATCGAAATAATCAAAACAAAGAAGTAGTTCTTAAATGTCTCAATAATTTGAATGAAAATTTAGATGAATTTTTAAATGAAGTATGATAATTATTGTTAATGTTTTTAATTTTATTCATTTATTTATACTAATTACGTATTTCTAATTTTATTTTTATAGTGGAAGTATCATGAGAATTGTTTGAATTCAAATGAAATTATTAGTTTATATGGATTTACAAAAATGCCATATACTTTGAATTATATGGTAGTATTGGATTATGCAAATAAAGGTAATTTAAGAAGAAATTTAACTAAAGTAATTAAAAATACTTGGAAACAAAATTTATATATGTTGTATAAAATTATTTCTGGGCTTTATGAAATACATAAATTAAATCTTATTCACTGTGATTTACATGATGGCAATATTTTAAATCACAACAATGAAAAGGATAAAGATGATTTAGAAAATGAAGTTGATAATAATTTAGTTTTTATTAGTGATTTAGGATTATGCCAACCTGTAAAATCTTCTTTAAAAAAAGATAATATTTATGGAGTCATGCCATTTATGGCACCTGAAATTTTAAGAGGCAAACCTTATACTCCAGCTAGTGATATATATAGTTTTTCTATGATTATGTGGGAATTTACATCTGGAGTTCCACCATTTAATGATAGAGCACATGATCTTTAACTTAGTTTAAGTATTTGTAAAGGTGGACGTCCTAAAATTATTGAAAATACTCCACAATGCTATATAGATTTAATGAAAAAATGTTGGGATGAAGATCCATTAAAAAGGCCATCTGCATCAGAAGTGAAATATGTTGTTGGAAATTGGATTTTCCGTCCTGATTATGATGAAGAAATTAATGAAGTAAAAAGCAATATTATGGAATTTACAGATGCACCGATTGAGAATAATAATCTTTCTACTAAATCTCATCCACAAGCATGTTATACAAGTCGCTTACTTAATTTTACTAGTGAAGAATTGAATGAAATTCTCAAAAGTGAAGATTTGAATGAATTTATGATATGAATTATGAAGTCATTAGGTATGTAATATAGTATACAAAAAAGTAATTTGCAAATTATTTTATGTGAAATTAATTTATTTATTTTAATCATTTTAGATATTAAAACTGATGAAATTTATTAATTATTTGTGAATTCTTTTTTGAAATTTTTTTAAGATATTTAATATTATGATGCATTCAACAGAAATTATTCTTTATTTTATTTCATTAGAATTATTTAAACACTAAGGTTAGAGTAGTAAAATATTTTACAAGTTTCTTGGTTTGTAATTTAAATAATTATTAGAATTATTTAAACACCTAGAGTAGTAAATATTTACAAATTTCTTAGTTTGTAATTTAAATAATTCTTTTTTTCGTAACTTATCCAATTATTCCAAGAATCCGGCAACCCGAACGCCCGACAAGTACTCGGCATTAAATTTTACTAGGTGTCCACGCATTTATGGAAACAACTGTAATATTTTAATATTTTAATATTTGGTATTTAATTTTTTTTTAAAAAATGTTTAAAAATAAAAAAAAAATGTGTGCCGGTAATTATGTAGATGATTTTGTTGAATGTAAAATTTATAATCGGACAAATTTAACCATTCATTCATTTAAAAAATACATATATAATATTGGGGATATCGGTCACAGGACCGAATGATTGAATGAAAATGGGCCACGTAGTTGTCATTTTCACCAATCAATGAAGGTCCCTGTGACCGATATAGTGCTATCGTTCTGACGTTTATTTAACTTTCTATAGATTTCATTTTTATGCTATTTTTAATCCACTTTATAAGCTTTATTTAAGTTTTTCCTATAAAATATTCACTTACACCATATTTTTTTACTTCACTTTATTATATCAATCATGTATTGTTGCTATGCCTAATAAAAATATCGGTCTATGAAAATCTGAGAGCTGAACGATAACAACATTTATGTAATAAAAATTATAAACATTTTAAAATAAAAAGTTAATAAAAATAATGCGCATATAAAATATATTAAATAAAAAAAAGTAATACTGAAATATGATGAAATCTTAAATGCTCAAATAAAAATATAAAAATCATTCTGTGGCGCAATTAAATCATTGATATTTGATATTTGATAGTAATTAAAAGAAAATCTTGGCCAAAATTAAAAAAATCCGGCAATCTTCTACAGTAAACAATCTTTAGCGTTAGTTGGTAAAGTTTCTTTCATAAGGGATATTAGGAATTGCTTAATTTTTTTGTTGGATCGAACCCAATGGACTAAATATGTCTAAACTATCAACAACAGGTAAGGAAGAGGTAAGAAAATTATTTTGTTGTTTCTTTCGCCAATTATGTTCTTTTTAGATTCTTTAGTTAATTGATTTCTTGGATTTTAAAGACAGCAAACATGCTGTTTTTATTTCTTTTTTCCATTTCTTTACCTAATTACAACTTTTTCAAAGATTTGAATTTTTTTTATAACTTTTAGCATACCTCTTAAACTCAAAAATCGGTTAATATCACGAGAAAGACATAGGAACAGATCGATTTTTTAAAAAAATTCATGATACGAACAATTACGAACGTTTCTACTAAATATATTCTTGAAACAATGTTCATTTATTATATTCTTGCGCAACAGAAATTACTTTAATTTCTTCGACCAGATTAAAACTGACTTAAAGACAACTTATTAAGGAATAAAATAGTCTCAGACGCTAAAAATTAAGACTTAAAGTGAGTAAGACAGGGAATTTTGTGGTAATATAAGTTAAAAAATGATATTCTCTTATTTAATGATTTTAATTTCGCGTAGTTATTTGAAATCGAACCAACCGAATTGATACGTTCAGTGTTTTTATTCTTTTCACTAATGTATTTTTTTTAGATTCAGGACAAGTATTCTCATTGAATTTTTTTATTAGACGGGACTCAGCTTTAGCTTTTCGACTTCATTAATTTGAGATGACAATTAAATTATTGAAAATAATTTTTAATTTATTCAAGTACAATATTAAATTCGTCTACCGAGTTAATTTACAAATACAATATAAACTGCTCTTTTTTAGAAGGGAGTAGACATCATGTATGATAAACTAGGAAACGGAAACCGTTGTAAGTCCGGACTCCGGAGCGAAAAAAAAGATAAAAGCAGTTTTACGATTTCATTGGATGACGTCACGTGAGGGACAGAGAAATCCACGCGACTCATAATGCGTAGACCTTCGCTCCGGACAACTAATTGGTCTCGCAACTTTTAACTGAATAAGCCTAAAAGAAATCAATAATGCCAAATTTAAACACAATCTATTATTTTAAACATAAACAACGTAAATAATTATTAGTATCTTTAAATTTATAAATAGTAAATAATGTTTATAGTACTTCTCAATTGTAATAAATTGGAAACTTCCAAGTCGGTTAATTGAGAATCACAAATTATCAAAATAACAGAAATTAATATCAAAAAAACTTTTCATAATTAAAACTTTTTAAATAGAAAATAACTTCATTATTAATATACGAAGTAATAAAGAATTAACAGATTTTGGCAATAATTATTAAATGTAAATGCTCTACTAGTACAGTATATATATAGTTTCCACTATATATAGCTAACGCTAATTCAGCCATAACTACACCAAAACTGTAAATATCAGATGACGATGTATATAATTGACTTCTGGAGCAATATACGGCAATACTCCGTATAATACTATATTATCTGATTTTTGTTCATTTGCTGGTCCAGATAATCCAAAGTCTGAGATATGAGAATAAGTGATTTTACGTATTTTGTTTTATAAGATAACGTGTGTAATTCTTTTAGATGTAATGATAATTCAAACAATAATTTAACTTTATTTTTCCATAAAATATCATTAAAATTATTTGAAAGATTACATCTCAAATTTCCTTTATTATTAAATTGTATAATCATCATAATTCTTTAATTTTTCATTCCATAAAACTCTAATCTGTATTTTTTAGACATATTCCAATTTATTTTAAGATAAATTAAGTTATAAATACTAATAAATTAAGAAAACTTACTTCATTTAAATATTTGTCTGACATATTCTGTGATTCATTTAACCTTTTCAAAACAGAAAATTCATCTATAAAAGATTATTTACTATTTCTTACATTATAACATTGTATCCCTTATAAACTTATCAATATCGGGATGCAATTTTTGGTGTACTTAAATTTTGAAAATAGTCCGATGGAAAGCGAATTTAATAAATTATTTTACATGGAAAAAAAAATATTTTTTTTCTTTCGTTTTGGAACGAAAAAATATTCTTTAATTGTTTACTTATTTTATTTTATTTTAACCAAAAATAGAAATTACCGCATTGTGCATTATGTAAATTTTGTACTTTATTATTATTTACCATGTTACTAAAAATGATCCCAACCATCGATAAATTTTTTTTTTCGATTCTTTCTATGCATGATGCATCGTTCTGCCTTCTACATTATTATTATTTGCTGGAATTTCTTACAAAAACTTAAATAAATAAAAAGTTCTTAAAATACTAAATCTATAAATCAAATCAATATATAATATAATACCATAATTACAACATAATTTGTCGGTGTTTCGACTTTCGATTTATCATAATTATTATTATTGCATTTTGATCCATATTTTGATCCATGTAGATTACAAAATATGAACACAACAAATTGGCAACTTATTTTTGAAACCGAATTTTAATTACAAACAAAAAAAAAACGGAGAATAGTTTCGTGGATATACAATGTAATTTTAAAATAAGTTATCAAAAACACGTAAACGCTAAGTTTGTACGAGGAATACTTGATTTATATTTTATAACGAATTTGGGTTTAAAACTTTGACAAATTAATCAATATCATTTTTTAGGTAAATGATGATAACAACTGAAATATCTTATTACCTAGAACTAAAATACATATTAAATTGTGGAATGATTGACATACTTGTCATACAGAATGAATTGTAGATTGAATGATTGAGAATAATGTCTTCTGCCCCGTAAAGATACCAAATAATATTAAAAATTAATAAAAGTAAAAAACATATATTAAATTTGCGTTTTCATGGTTAACTTTTAAACTTTATAAAGTACACTTTTTTTAAATAATGTCAGGAACGAGTTTTCTTTATTTTTAGTTACGATTAATCCAATAATCTCGTTTAATTTAATTCGATAATTAATTGGATTAATTGGATGTGCAGTGTGCACTTACAAATTAGGCACGATAGAAGACCCAAAACAGAAAACTTAAAACACGTGCGCACATCCTGTGCGACAGTAGGTTTTCTTATATACAGTGTTTTCTGCAAAAAAAAAAAAAATATTCTTCTCTCATATTGGAAATTAGCCCCATTTATTGGATTGATTGGAGTTAATGTAGAATTACGTGAAAATTCTCATTTTGGTATATTAAAAGATCTACTTAAAGGCTGTAAAGGAGATCAGAACTTGTGCAATAAAAGTAGCCATGATCTAGGAGGATTTACAGTTAACGAAATAACAGAAATGCGCTATTTAAAATGATTATAAATAAAGGGCTCACAAAGGTAAAGTTTTTATCCGAGTCAAAATATACTATAAGTAATTTCTAACAATACCAGAAGAAACAAAAGAGAGAATTTGCGATTAGAATTCTTCCAATTAGTATAAATTTATTCGCTATTTTTGTAAATATTATAAGCATTTAGTATAGAGAAGGTCTTCAGTTTAAGAGGAGTTGGAATCATTTTAGCTGTCACAAACTTTATGTCGTTCATGTCAAGAAAGTAAGCATTTGTTTCATTTTCATAAAATTGGTAAAACTTTATTAACAATACTCGAATTACTGACAAGTATTTTTATCTACCAATCAAGACGAATGAGTTCAGGCATGATGGGCGGCTCCCTTACATCATAGTGCATCACGCTTCCTGCTTCTCTCTTTCGATGTGACCTCAATGAAGGAAGTAGTTACTGACAATCAAGTTTCTTCTTGTAGCTCCTAAAGATCAAATCATTAAGTTCAACTTTTCTTGCACGTATCTCTTATATTAATTGATACGTCCACGTTTTGAAGACTAGGCGTGTACTGGGTTACTTTGATGATAATATACTGTTACAATCTAAATTTTTTTGGTTTTTGATTTTCAACGAAATGTTATGTATGATTGCAACTTCGAACATTATTGGTTAGTATAAATATTTTACCTTTTTTTATGTATATATATACGTATTTTTTTTAATTACTTTTTCTAAATTTGTTTGTCAATTGTACAAATTCTTCCTAGATAGAAGGAAAGGTTTCATAACTCCGAGAATTAAAGGCTTTCAGGCGACGACTTTAACAATTTTTATGTATTGTCACAATAATGAAGGATCGTCACTTGTTGCTATATCTGATATGGTCCGATTAAATTTCGCGAGCAAGCGAGTTCCCTATGATACCGAATTTATTAAAAAAGACTCCAAGGAATGTAAGAGTTGCGTAAACGTATGAAATATGTTGGAAATATAATAGAATTTCAATTATGTGGATAAATCACCGGAGAGTAAGAGGATTAGAATAGAATTAATTGTTCTAGGATGGCTATGTAAAACGTTTACGTTTATGTAATAAAACCATCAAGGTATTCTTGGAAATTTATATTTGAATTATGCATATTCGTTTGTTTTTCTACGTGTGAAAATCGCTGGTATTAAAAAAGCTGGTTTATAGAAAGAGCACAAATTATGGAGTAGTGATAGACTGACGAAGCTAATAAAATTTTCAATTCACAACCGTTAGCAATAATGGCATCAGCTTATTTACTGGAACCAAATGACTACAGTGAAATGGTGGTCTATATATACTGGATGGTTGTTTACTGTAACGATAATCACAGTATCTTAAAGGAGCAGAATACTAATAATATAGCTTTTACTTCTAGGTGTATACATGCATTCAGCAGGCGATGACAGTAGATGAGATTCACTGTACCGAAGGATGGAAATTATGTCCTAGATGCAACGTTTATATATATCCATAATTAAGGGAGTTACTACTATACGAGGTAGATCTAGTTGGTCCCAGAAATTCAAATTCGATTGTCAATTGATAGCGGGACTACTGTAAGGGCAAATGAGCATATCAATTCAATTAGAAGCGTTGGTAAAGGTAATATTTACAATTACGATGACCCTGTGGACATTCATTTATTGGAAAATCATGCAGAATAGCTGTATTAATCGGATTTGTACTTGGTCTCATTTATTAGAGTTATTCATTTATTAGTGCTATTTTTTTTTTTGTATTTACTGTATTATCAACATTGTAAGAATAAACAATACATTATGATGTTATCCGATGATTTTTCTTGACTATTTATTTTTTATTTGGTATTTTTTAGTTATAAAAAATCCGGCTAATTATGAGGTTATTAAATAAGTGTTATTGTGAAAAGTAATTTCTCCTATTCATTTAATTTTATTTATTTTATTTTTATTTTTTTTATTTTTAGTTATGACAAATTACAGAGAATTAAAATTTGCATGACTTAAGATGTAGTATAATGTAGGTGTAAATGTATTTACACGATAAAATTATTAATATAATTTAGAAAATAAATTATACATTTATATTATTTATATTTAAAAAAGCTATATATTGCTAACATATTGTGTAATCGTACGATTTTGTAATTAAGTACATCCTAAATAAGTTGTTTAACTTTGTTAATTGACCTTTATCAAATATCTGAATACTCTCGATTATCTATCTCTTCAATTGTATCATACATCTTTGCAAAAAAATCAATCTCAGTTTTAGGGGTGATCACGTTATATTTTTAATTACGCCTGTTTGTCCTATCAAATAATTGTATTGAAGCATGTGAAAGCGATATTGATAATCTTGCAGGAGCTGGGAACACTTTTAAAGTCGAATCCTTTATTCGAGAAGCATATTTTATTTAGAACAACTACCATAGATATATAATCCTTCGTATAAGAACTTGTCTTATCATCAATTTGAGCGGATAATATCTATGTTACAAAACAGAAACATTAGATAATAGGAAAAAACTTAACATTTCTACTCTTGTTTAAAACATGATCTTGATCTTCATGTGAATCAACATGATCTTACATCTACCGATCTACACATCTCTTATACGTTGATCATTTTGCAACATTTGAGAACGTTACCATTTTTTTTTTTTAAATTAACAATTATTTGAAATAATGCCGACTTGGTCATTAAATTCTGACTTCTCTCTTATACATAATCCTTCTTCAGTATGGTCTTACGGCTCAAAGCCTGCCAGTTATCACGTAACCGGAACGTTCAGCTTATTTACACACACAGATCCGGAACCAAATAACTATAGCGAAATAATCGCATGGTTTGGGAGTGATACCGTATGGTATACTCACTGGCTAGGTGTTTATCATAACACCAAGCCAACGAATGTTACCTTAAAGGAACCGAATAATCACACTGTATCATTCACTGCTAACGGTGTATCTATGCATCCAGGAGACGATGGTAGATACTCTGTCGTAAGATTCACTGCACCAAAGGATGGAAATTATGCCTTAAACGCAACGTTTACACATATTCATAATTGTGCAAAACATTCAGGAGTTTACGTAGTATATAATAACCTAATGGCTCTTTGGGAAATAGACCTAGTCGGTCCCGGAGATTCAAAATCGTTCAAAACAGATGATAGCGGGATTACTGTAAGAGCACATGAGCCTATCGATTTCATTGTAGGCGTTGGTCTAGATAATATCTTCAATTGCGATATGACTCTTGCTCGTGTGGATATTCATTTATTAGATCATCAAATAGAATTTTTCGCAATTGTTGGAATAACCGGGTTTGTACTGGGTGTTTTTGTTAGTGCTATAATAGCTTGTATCCTTTGCCAATGTTGTAGGAGGAGACATAACGTTAATTTTGGTTATATGGCTATCAACTAAGTGTAAATTGTGAACTTAGATGATTTCTTTCTTCTTTCTTTCTTTTTTTATTTGTTTATTTTATTTATTTAATTATCTGTTATGAAAATTGAATCAAAATTATAGGAATCTGTATTATGGTAAAATGTAAATTTATAAGTGTATGTATACGATTAAAAAATAAAGCCATTTATTAGAAATGTAATATAAATAAATTATACATTTAATATTATACTAAAGAAACTAACATAACGCCATGATTTCTAAACTATTTGTGATCATTACAATTTTTCGCTTGATCCTGGTAATTAAGTATATCCTAATAAGTTATTTTACCCTTGAACCATTGGATTAACTTTGTTAATTGACCTCATCAAATATCTAAATATAAATGATTATCTCTTCCAAATGTATCATACATCTTTAAATTAATGATGATGTCGCCAAATCATCATTCGTTGATCAAGTTGGATTTTTATACTGGATGAACCTATTGAACATGATCACACGGTTATATTTTTTATTACGTCATTTTGAAGTCTGTCCTATTAATAATTGTTGAAATCAAATCAATCAAATTCGACTTATTGGATCTTGCAGAAACTTTAAAGGCCGGGAACAACTCTTAAAGTTAAAATCTTAAGTGAGAAATAAATCTTGTCTTAATTTCAACTCGAGAAGGAGAGTACGCAAAATATCATCAATTCCTCTAAGTTGCAAAACAGAAGCATAATATAAAATCAGGAAACTCTAACAATATCCCATGTGAGAATCAACAATGATCTGTTCAGTACATGTTGATCATTATGCACACTGTCACATGTGAGAACACTTCCTATAAGAAAAAATGATCACCATGTCAGAGTTTTTTTTTGGAATAAAAATCAGAAAAAATAGTTAGAAAATTAAAATTTTTATAGGGATTCAAATCTCGATACTTTATAAAAGCTTTTACACTCACAACCATTAGAAGTAAATTATGAAATGGTTATTAAGTTCTAACTTCTCTCTTAAAAATGACCCTTCTTCCGTATGGTCTTACGGCTCAAAACCTGACGTTCAGCTTATATAAGTGGATAGTCGCCTGATTTGGGAGTGATATCTCATGGTGTACTCACTGGCTGGGTGGTGTCTATTATAATACCAAGCCAACGAATGCTATCTTAAAAGATCGTACTATGGCGGGATTTATTGCTAACGGTGTAGCCGTGCATCCAGGCGATGATGGCAGATTTTCTGTCGTAAGATTCACCACACTGAAGGATGGGAATTATGTCCTAGATGCAACGTTTACACATATCCATGATTGTGCACTACATTCAGGAGTTACATAGTATATAATAACCTAATGGCTCTTTGGGAGTTAAACGGTCCTGAAGGTTCAAAATCGTTCAAAACAACTGATAGTATTACTGTTAGAGCAAATGAACCTATCGATTTCATTGTAGGCGTTGGTCTAGATAATATCACCAATTGCGATATGACTCTTTGCTCGTGTGGATATTTATTTATTAGAAAATCAAATAGAATATCCCGTAATTGCTGGATCAATCAGATTTGTACTGGGTATATTATTAGTGCTTATTCTATTTTGTATCTATTACCGATATCGTAAGAATAGACAGAACGTTAGGTTATGAGGTTATCAACTAAATGTAAATTGTGAACTTAAGATGATTTCTTTTATTTGTTTGTTTATTTATTTTATGAAAAATCAACCTCAATAATTTTATTAAGAATAATCTGTATTTAGTATAATGTAAATTTCCAAATGTATCATGGTTAAAAAAATAAAGGCGTTTATTAGAAATGTAATATAAAAATAAATTATACATTTATATTCTTTATTTTTATATTTAAAGAAACTATGTATCATCATGATCTCTCTAAATAACATGTGATCGTACGATTTTTCGTTTAAAGACTGCATTATTTTGGTAATTAACTAAATAAGCTATTTACCTATAGTAGTAATTGAATCATTGGGATTAACTTTGTTAATGATCTTCAACAAATATCTATTGTCTCTTCAATTGTATCATACATCATCTTATGATGTTCGCGCGGCTTTTCGTTGATCAAGTTGGCAACCATCTGCTTCTATACCAGACGAATCATGTTATATTTGCTGCAAAAAACCTATTAAACCTATTGATGTATCAATCGCAGTTTTGGGACGTGATCACACGCTATATTTTTTAATTACGTCATTTAAAGCCTCTGCTGAAGTCAAATAAAAGCGATATTGATGATCTTGCAAAGATTTAAAGCATGTTCGGAACTTTAAGTCGAATTCTTTCTTCGAGAATTTAAAACTAGCTAGATATTTAATCCGGACTTAGGATGTCGTATAAGAACTTGTTCAATTTGAGGAAGAGAATGCGGATAATATCTATGTTACAAAGCAGAACATACATACTAGATAATAGGAAACTTACTCATGTTAAAACTAGAATCAACAGGATCTGAACAGATCTACTGATCTACGCGACGTCTTTTATACGTTGCAGATTATTTAGTAACACTTGAGAAACGCACCATTTTTTAAATTCACAACTATTTGAAATAATGCCGACTTGGTCATTAAGTTCTGACTTCTCTCTTATACATAATCCTTCTTCGGTATGGTCCTTCGGCTCAAAGCCTGCCGGTCATCACGTAACCGGAATGTTCAGCTTATTTACACACTTAGATCCGGAACCAAATGACTATAGCGAAATAATCGCCTGGTTTGGGAGTGATACCATATGGTATACTCACTGGCTTGGCGTTTATTATAACACTAAGCCAATGAATATTATCCTAAAGGAACCGAATACTAACATTATGACATTTACTGCCAACGGTGTAGCTATGCACCCAGGAGACGATGGTAGATTCTCAGTCGTAAGATTCACTGCACCAAAGGATGGGAATTATGTCCTAGACACAACATTTACACATATCCATAATTGTGCACTACATTCAGGAGTTTACATAGTATATAATAACCTGACGCTTTGGGAAATAGGCTTAGCTGGTCCTGGAGATTCAAAATCGTTCAAAACAACTGATAGTTTTACTGTTAGAGCAAATGAGCCTATCGACTTGTTGGTCTAGATAATATCTTCAATTGTGATATGACTCTTGCTCGTGTGGATATTCATTTATTAGAAAATCAAATAGAATTTCCCGTAATTGCTGGATCAATCGGATTTGTATTGGGTATTATTGTTACTACTATTCTACTTTGTATCTATTACCGATATCGTGGGAATAGACAGAACGGTAATGCTGGTTATGAGGTTATCGGCTAAGTGTAAATTGTGAACTTAAGAAGATTTTTTTATTTGTTTATTTATTTATTTTATGAAAAATCAACCTCAATAATTTTATTAATAATAATCTGTATTATAGTATAATGTAAATTTCCAAATGTATCATATTGATATGGTTAAAAAAATAAAGGCGTTTATTAGAAATGTAATATAAAAATAAATTATTTTTTTTTAATATTTAAGTATCACCATGATCTCTCTAAATAACATGTGTGATCGTACGATTTTTCGTTTAAAGACTGCATTATTTTGATAATTAAGTACATCCTAAATAAGCTATTTACCTATAATAGTAATTGAATCATCGGGATTAACTTTGTTCAACAAATATCTGAATATTCAATTGTCTCCTCAATTGTATCATACATCATCTTTTAAATTGATAATGATGTCGCTCGGCTTTTCGTTGATCAAGTTGGCAACCATCTGCTATACCAGACGAATCATGTTATATTTGCAAAAAACCTATTAATGAATCAATCGCAGTTTTGGGACGTGATCACACGTTATATCTTTTAATTACGTCATTTAAAGTCTGTTCTATTAATAATTTCTGTCTGCTGAAAGCGATATTGATGATCTTACACAAAGCTTTAAAGCATGTTCGGAACACTTTAAGTCGAATTCTTTCTTCGAGAATGTCTTATTTAAGACTAGATATATAATCCCCGACTTAGGATGTCGTATAAGAATTTGTTTTATTATAAATTTGAGGAAGAGAATGCGATAATATCTATGTTGCAAAACAGAACATAATAAAAACTTAACATTTCTACTCTTGTTTAAAACAAGAATCAACAGGATCTGAACATCTATCTACTGATCTACGCATAGTGATGGAATCGGTTCAAAATGAGTCGACTCGAGTCGATTCTGGAACCGATCTTAAATTTAAAAGATTCCGGAACTTCGAACCGACTTCAAGAACCGATCAAATTGAGTCATCTGACGATCACACACCAACTACCAATCAAATTTTTCTGATTGATCGTTTTTATATTTGTTGCACGTTGCTCATCTACGCGACGTCTTTTATACGTTGTATATTTGAAATAATGCCGACTTGGTCATTAAGTTCTGACTTCTCTCTCATACATAATCCTTCTTCGGTATGGTCTTTCGGCCCAAAGCCTGCCGGTTATCAAGTAACCGGAATGTTCAGCTTATTTACACACTTAGATCCGGAACCAACTGACTATAGCGAAATAGTCGCCTGGTTTTGGAGTGATACCGTATGGTATACTCACTGACTTGGCGTTTATTATAACACTAAGCCAATGAATATTAACCTAAAGGAACCGAATACTGACATTTTAACAATGTTTACTGCCAACGGTGTAGCTATGCATCCAGGAAACGATGGTAGATTCTCAGTCGTAAGATTCACTGCACCAAAGGATGGAAATTATGTCCTAGACACAACATTTACACATATCCATAGTTGTGCACTACATTCAGGAGTTTACATAGTATATAATAACCTGACGCTTTGGGAAATAGGCCTAGCCGGCCCTGGAGATTCAAAATCGTTCAAAACAACTGATAGTATTACTGTTAGAGCAAATGAGCCTATCGATTTCATTGTAGGCGTTGGTCTAGATAATAGCTTCGCTTGTGATATGACTCTTGCTCGTGTGGATATTCATTTATTAGAAAATCAAATAGAATTGCTGGATCAATCGGATTTGTATTGGGTATTATTTTTACTGCTATTCTACTTTGTATCTATTACCGATATCGTGGGAATAGACAGAACGGTAATGCTGGTTATGAGGTTATCGGATAAGTGTAAATTGTTGAATTTAAGATGATTTCTTTTATTTATTTATTTATTTTATGAGTTTATTAGAAATGTAATATAAAAATAAATTATACATTTATTATTATACTCAAAAAACTCATATAACACCATAATCTCGTGATCACTACAGTTTTACGCTTAAGACTATTTTATTCAGGTGTTATTTACCTATATAAGAAGTTGAATCATTGGATTAACTTTGTTAATTGACCTCATCAATTATCTGATTACTTGATTGTTTCTTATCTTTAAATTATAAGTGATGTCGCTAAGCTCTTCGTTGATCAGGTTGGATTCTTAATTTTGGATACATAATCATCTGTTTCTATATTAGATAATCGTTTTCTTTGCAACAAACCTATTGGTAAACCAATCGGTGATCATACGACATATGTTTGATCACATCATTATATTTCTTAGCCTGTTCTATTAATAATTGCTGAAGTCAAATAGAAATATTTATCTAGATTGAGAAAAGTAATTTTCCGATTTTACAAGGATCTCGAGACAAGAACTTTTCTTATTATCAGTTTTATCAGTGAAAAACATCATCGTTACCAAATAGAACATAACATACCAGACAATAAAAATCAGAACATACTATTCGTTAAATCAAAAGGATCAACTCGTCTTTTATAAATGTTGCATCAACTATCAAAATTGACCTTACCCTATTTGGTAATTACACGTGATTCAGTCGCGATACAATATGCACACTATGAAGGAGTCGAGAAAAATTAAAATGATAATTAAAAATAATGACAAAATGGTCATTAAGTTCTGACTTTTCTCTTATACATAACCCTTCTTCCGTATGGTCTTACGGCTCAAAACCTACCGGTTATCACGTAACCGGAACGCTCAGCTTATTTACACACTTAGATCCGGAACCAAATGACTATGGCGAAATAGTTGCCTGGTTTGGGCGTGATACCATATGGTATACTCATTGGCTGGGTGTTTATTATAACACCAAGCCAACGGATTTTATCTTAAAGGAACCGAATACTTCCACTGTAGCTTTTACTGCTAACGGTGTAGCTATGCATCCAGGCGATGATGGTAGATTCTCAGTCGTAAGATTCACTGCACCAAAGGATGGAAATTATGTTCTAGACACAACGTTCACACATATTCATAGTTGTGCACGACATTCAGGAGTTTACATAATATATAATAATCTAATGACGCTTTGGGAAATAGACCTAGCCGGTCCCAAAGATTCAAGATCGTTCAAAACGACTGATAAAGGAATTGCTGTTAGAGCAAATGAGCCTATCGATTTTATTGTGGGCGTTGGTCTAGATAATGTCTTCTATTGCGATATGACTCTTGCTCGTGTAGATATTCATTTATTGGAGAATCAAGCAGAAGCTCCCGTAATAGCTGGATCAATCGGATTTATATTGGGTGTTATTATTAGTGCTATTCTGTTTCACATCTTTTTCCAATATCGCGAGAATAAACAAAACATTAATATAAATCAGTCAGACATGAGGTTATCAACTAAATGTAGTTATGAACTTAAGATGATTTCTCCTATTGATTTATTTTTAATTTTAATTATGAAAAATCGGGTTAAAAATTATAGCCTTATAGGGAATAGAAGTTTGTGTGACTTATTAATTTACTAAGATTCTGTTGGGTACTATTGAAATGTATACACGGTTAATTTACTGTGTATAACTATCTAGCAAAATTTTATTAGATTTTTTCTTTGTATTTTTTACAAAAACAAAAGAGTATCACACGATAAATAACTTTCTCATATCAGGTTTATAACAAAATTTCTATTATATATTATCAAATATTATCTCAATTAAATACCACAATTATGTACTTGCTAAAATTAAAATATTAAGAATAAACTGGATCACCGAATCAACTTTGTTAGTTGATCTCACCAAACTTCCTAGTATTCTTGATGGTCTTCTCCAATTGTGTCATGTCATACATCTCTCGTTGATATCGATTTCAAATCATTACAAAAACCTTAGTGGTTTAACGTAGATTGTACCACATAACGATGAATAATATAAGATTCTCCGTGGAAATCGCCGAAATAAAATATCTGGAATGTCAATCAAGACTAAACGCTTTGCATATATAAGTTGATGATGCGATAACGATAAATAATAAATTGCAGAGCATAATATGAAAATATAGCAATTTTTACCTTGTTTAACATGTCAAATTTTTTTTTCTTGCGAATGTAGTAGAAATTCTGGCCAGTGATTTCCACCTGCTTTATATGCTTTTTCTTTGGTGCTTTTATGACAGTTTGACCCAGCCAAAAGTATAATTAATCGTGCAAGAGGAATACTCGATCATTTTTGAAAGGAACTCCCAATGATGCATTTCTGTATTACAATTACGTTAGAATTACATTCTTTAAAATATTTAATAATCAAATTCCAAAGGCACAATTACCTCATAACGCTATTTCATATGTATTTACACTCTAGATCTTTATTTGTAATAAAGAAATTTTGTCATCATCATTTGCCAAAGTTTGAAGTACGGTAATAATCTACTTTTAATTTGTAATAAATGGCCTTCTATATTACTCACGAGTGCTTTTATCTATGATTCGAATAATAAAAAAAAGGCTAATATTAGTACCAAAAACTTCGTAAAATCGATCAATTTTTATTTAAATCGCGTACCATTTTCTAATAGGGTTCGATTATATTAAAATTCATGATCACGGAGACGTTCATTTACCCTTTCTTCTAACAAAATCACAAAATCAATCAATCCCCCACAAACATTATATTTTTGCTTTAATCATAAATGTGCCTCCACGTTACATATAACAGTATCGTTGAAAAGTGAAATCGACATTTGATCGACGTTGGTTTTTTACGGTATAACATTGACATCACGTGTATCGCCATAAAAATCTCACTTCGCCTTCGTTTGATCGAATGAAAATTTTAATTTTTTTTGACAGATATAATTTTTTTTATTATTATCCATCTTAGGATGATTTATTAACAATTATATACATATCTATATACAGAAAAAAAAAATCCCCCCAAAAAAATCATGACCATTCAAAATCTTCGAAAGTACGCCCACACCTAGTATAATGATCATATTTTTCAATCACTTTTTCAGCCTTATATTGTTCTTTTAATCTAAAATAGTTTATAATAAAATTATTTGATGAAATAGTTTGTAATAACATTGGACGTTTATCACGTTTATCCTTCCAATTATCAAAAAATAATTTCAAAGATTCAAATTTAACTTGATTATTATAAAAATTAAATTTAAACTTGAATAAACAAGGTGGGGAAGATCTAGTCAATATTTCAAATAATTTATCCCAATCAAATAAATTATCGTGAGCGAGAATAAATAAACCTTCCAAATATTTGCAATTAATTAATAATTTTTCTAATTCCAAAGTACCACTATATCTAAATAACATTTTAAGAAATTTAAGATTGGGACAATGTTGACAAATAGTTTGAATAATTACTTTATTATCAAATTCATCATGATTTATACAATCAATATTTATCTCATTAAGATATCCACTCGTATTTTCAATTAAACTTGTTAAAGCTCTAATTGGAACTCTTTTAGCTCTTAATATTTGTAAAAAAGGTAAGGATAAATTTTTCAAACAATTCCAAGTATAATAATAATAACAATCCATTTCTAATACTTTTAGATTTATAAAAGATGAAAGAACATTTGTGATTGGTTGTTTGGTTATCTTAAAATATTCTATAGTATTTGAATGTTGAATCAATGAATCTTCGAGAATTTTACAAAATGAATCACCAACGTATTGATTATTGGGTAAAAGACGAATATTAAATAATTTTTTGGAATTTTCAATTAATCCAACAATTCCATAATTATTATTTTGAACTTCAATATTAAATTCTAATTCTTGTATTGATTCACATATTTCAATTAATCCATTTAAAACATTATCGTTTATATTAGTATTACAACTGAGGAATACAAGTTTTGAAAAGCATTGTTCAGCCCCAGGAATAAGATTTATTTGTTGATCAAATTGATAAGGTATATAAAGGTGTGTAAATTCTCTTCTTTCATTGATAAAAAGATTCAATATTTCATTTTTAATAATTGAAATTTTTGATTTTTCGTTAATAGTATTGATTATCTTTTTAATCGAATTTAAATTTAAATGTCTACAAAAACTAATATAATCAAATAAAGGTTTTTGATAACAATCTATTAAAAAATCAACTCCTTGACTCATTAAATCATTTTTAGATTCATTTGAAAGATGTGAAACTATCACATTTAATAATAATCTCTTCTTTTTCTTCAAATATTTCCATGGATTTTTCCATAAAATTGGTATAATTACTTCACACCAAGTTCTATTAACTGAAAGACATAAAAGAAGTGTCTTTTTATCATTTTGTAATCTTTTAAATATTAAATAAAGAATATCTCGATTTAGGTCGGTCATTTTTTATTTTTTATTTTTATGAAAAAGAAAAAGTGTTGCAATATTTTTTATGACATATTTGTAATACATAAATATTTATCGCATCAATGATTTGTGGAATATGGGAATGTGATACAGATTACTTTTCTGTGTTGTATCATGTGATAATAATTTGTATGACGCAACGATCGATCAAATAATCCAAGAAATAGGGAAAGCTCGTGATTACTTGTGATTTGGTAGCAATTAGATACAAAATTCACGAATAAGGAAGAAACAAGAAAAATAATTTTCATATCAAATCAATATATCATTACATAAAAATTATATTATAACAACTCAATATCATAATAATTTCTTTAATTTGTGGAATATTAAACACAATAGTTTTTAAAACTTGTTACCATATAATTATACACTACGCAAGACGTTATAATAATAATAATTGTTATTTTAAATAAATAATTAATGGTCTTTGTGAATGCTTTCAAACCAGTCGTTGATGAGGTCGTGCGTGTAATATTTTTTATTGTGTCCGAAGAAACTATGTTGATCTAGATATTTTGTGTACGAATCGTAGTTTTTGGCAGGAAACGAGTCAGTTACAACTTACAACGTGGCTTATACGCAAATATTATCTTTTTGACATCTTTTTTTGACCCTCCTATATGTAACACAATATATGCGGGCCAAAAAAATAACACGAGGAGGGTCAAAAAGTAATTTTTGCGGCTTATACTGTGTCACAATACGTCTAAACTAAAATTGGAATCTTTGCCACATCGTTCTAGCACGATCTTTGTTTTCCCGCAGCTATTAACAAAATAGGATATTTGTACCGCAAAATGATCTTTCGGCGGTTTCTCATGTTCTTTTTATAACAGTCACTGCACGAATCTAGTTGTGAATACTGTAACAAGGTAAAAAATATTAACGTTACTAAATACTAAGGTCCTTTGAAAACGAGTAAACATTTTTTAACGGTTTAGTTTTCATATGGATAAATTAACATTTTTTAGGTCCGGACTTTTGGAGCGTCATTGTAAAATTGAAGCATATCTTTACAGGATCTTGACTATAAAAGGAGACTCGTAAGTCAAATTTCAGTTACCTTGGTGAATAATTAGATATTTCGGATATTTAATATTTTGTTGACGGCCCTTTTTCAAACAGTAACTTACGAAAACAAGTATATATGTATCGAAAAGGGTTCAATGCAAATACTTAGTTTATTTCCTATATTACCCTTAATCTATTTTTTCATGCTTGTTACTTATAGTAATAATAATATTCCACCGTACAGAATTTAGTCAATCTTCAAGTAATCTTCAACTAAAACACCAAAACGTTTGATAGACTTAAAGGATGTGTTATCGATGATGTGTAGAAAAATTGGAATTCAGAAATGCCGATAGATCAACAATATTTTAGCGAGTTAGAGATAATCATGATTAGATCATTCGCATGTATTCGAAATTGGAACGGTCTTTATTCTCGTGCGAACAAACTCATTCAAGAATTTAAGGGAAAAAAAGGTAGAATGGATATTAGTATACTACGTTATCAGTAACATCGAAATTTCGTAATTAGTGAATGTACGACGTGTATAGAAAAACTAACAAAATTTGTCAATTATTAGGAAGCAAAGACAGATGTTCTTTTTTAATTCATGAATGGAAATTCACCATCATTGTTATTTTCTTCGATGGTATGAGATTACAAAGCGCTATAGATAACAAACAAGCACCATTTGTAGAAAAATTGGAGATAGACGTGCGAGGACAGTTAACACCTTTGACATCAAATGGCAAGATTGATACGTTTAATATTGAAATTGGAGAAATAAGGAAATCCGACAGTGCAGATTTGATAACCAAAGGATATCGTCACTTGTGGTTAAACTTGAAAGAGTGTGGGAAATCTGAATACAATTCATTTCCGAAATCCTTACATATGGCGAAATCATTAGGCTTGATTGATCAATTTACGTCTTTTGTAGCTTGTCAAAATGTCATAAATTGTATTAAGGATGATGTTGAAGCGGTCATTGGTTATGCCTTAAGTATTATCTTTCCAGATTTAAAGTGTAATTTGATAGGTAATCTATATACGTCTTAAACAAATAAGACTTTTAATTCGCAATACCATGATGGGTTTGAGGGTTACAACTATTATGTGAATCATATCACTATCTAGTATTTACGTTCACTATCTAGTATTTATGTCCAATTTTATTACTCTGTTGATGTATGATCGTTTTTTAAATAATAAATAGAAATAGAAATAGTGATTTGATAGTATGATATCATTGTACACGAGAAATTCTTCACATAAAGCTAATTTTAAACACGGCAACAATTTCTACATTCCACAAAATACAATTCGTGAGTAGTTATATTTATTGTCTAATATGTTGTCAAAGAAAAACATCCCCTCGAACTTTTCTTGTCGATGTTGATATGGATCAATTGCTACCTCGAAAAATTATTAAGAGAAAAGGGTTTCGGAGTTCAATAATTTCTGTAGATTTTCAAGATATCCTACGATCATAGCAATCCTCAGGACCTAGATCGCGTAATCAAACTCACGGTTACTTTATTTCATGACAACTGCATATGTGCTTGCGATAATATTTTTTCCGCAGCAATTAACAAGAAAATTGCTATTCGGAATTTAATTATGAATTTTCGTTTATGGTTAATTTGTTAATGTACCATAAAGAAGTTGTAAATAAAAATTAGAATAACTTTTTTTTTTTTTACGCTAAGATTGTAAGTCAATTTATTAAAGTAATAAACAAAAACCATTGATACAAAAAATTACAAACTAAAAAAGAACTACTGGCTGCCCTATCTACCATAGTAAACTACCCAGACAGACGAACCCAACCTTGCCATAAATAATAGAAGATTTTGGGTGTTCATGTCTAAAATCAGATGATAATACTGGAGCACATAATACTTTATATGGACCCTAAATTTTTCGATATCGCATAATCGAAAAATCTGATATATACGGGTTGGGAGTATTATTCTGGGAGTTAACAAGTCGAAAATCGTCTTTTAAATACAAGACGGGGGACGATCACGCTCTAGGTTACTTATCCTTAATGGTTTAAGAGAAGAACCTATACTAAACACGAATGCTATATTTGTTGGATTATATCAAAGTAAGTATAAAATAGGGTATAATACTTTTCCGCAATGTTTTTTCACAATCTATTTTTACTTTATTTTATTAAAATGTTGGCAACACGAACCAGATAATAGACCGAATATTCACTAAGTAATTTCGGAACTTAATCTTATTAACCCTGAAAACAGTAATGTATCAACTCCCAGAGTAAGCGAAAATGAGGATTTATACTTGTTCAGATTAAATAAGCTTTATCGCAATTTTAGGATATTTATATGCAAGGTTGTGATTTCGTACAACTCTGAATGTTTTACTTTTAGTTATAACTTTGTATTATTAGTAAAAATACCCCTGATTTACATTTTGCTAATAATTAAGACCTGATTCACAATCGAATCGATTAGAGTCAACGCTCGTTATAGTGAAGCTTGTTATAGTAAATTTGGCTTATAGTGAACTTTTTTATTCCCCAGTTCACTTACTAATAAATCTTATTCGTTATAGTAAACTTCCTCGATATTCGTTATAGTGAATATCACGTGAAATAATTAGGTACATTGTTCATTTGTTCTCGAATCACTTTAAATACAAAATTAGGATTGGTATTTCACTCTATTATTGATAATTAAATGATAACAATGAAATTATTTGTATAAGGAATTAAATTTACGAGATCACTATTATCAGATAAAGAAATTATAAGTATAATAATTCAAATCCTGAAAATGATTATACAAAAGAGAATGAAAAATTAGAAATAATATATTATTAATAAAGAAATTAATAAAAATATTTCATTGGTCTAAATATACACAGAATTGGAATTCTTAAGGCTTTAAAATCAAAAATTAACAAAAATACTTTCGTCAAAAGAAATATTAATATAAAGTTCACTATAAAGAAATCTTTCGTTTTGTGAATATTCGTTATAGTGAACAAAAATGGTTGGAACCGAGAGTTCACTATAACGAGCTTTGATTGTACTCATAAAGCCGTAATTACCTTTAAACGGTATTTCCCTCTTGATTTGAATTTTGTAAGTAATAGATTAGGGAGTTAAAATAATTTGAAAATGGAAGTTTTGTATTTACAACAAAAATAGGGGACTCGTTGATCGCCTCAAACAAATGTCCCTGATTTGCTAATGAATGCGAAATGGAACAAAAAATTAAAGAATCGCTAAAATCAGATCATTTCAAAAATGGAAGTTTTATTATTCCGTCATCTACTTCATTACAGATCTCGATCCTATTGACCTATACATTCATTATACATACCGAATTTCTGTCGAAAATGACACGATTTTTCACGTTCGAACTTTCTCTTTGGGCTTATTGTATTATCTGAAGTTAAGTATTCAATTTAATTGGTAATAAATCTCTAATCATTTACAATAATTAAAATTTATTAATAGTGATTACATGGTATCTCTAAAAAAAACTTTTGTATATAAAACAGAGTATAACAGATAAACAAAGAGTATAAAAATAAAATAATTTGGTGATGTTTAGATTACACTTGTATTTCTTTTTTAACGTATGTGGGTTTTTTTGCATTTAATTTTGAGGGAAACAATGGTCCACTAGTCAATTTTGAGGTAAACAATGATCCACTGGGCCAATTCAAATTTTTCGATCGGCGAATTTTATTGGTTGGTGTAACCAGACCAGACCTCGGTTTGGTCGATCGAAAATTCCCAGTCGAAATCATATTTTGCAGATTGTCCTTATTAATATTACAAAATATTAAAAATATTACAATGTGAATATTGTCTAAATTAAAAAAAAAATTGATCAGTAACTATAAATGGACAATGAAAAATACATTTAAACTCCTTAATTGCTTAGTTCGAATGCGTTTTATACCAAATTAATATCATTGTATTACATACTAATTAAAAAAACATACCTCTAAAGATTATCTTGAAAAAGATTTGTTTGCACGAAAAATAAAAATTGTGGAATTTTCTTTGGATCATTCTTTGAATTTAAGTGTAGAATAAGGACGACCTTTCAAATTTTGCTATAAATATACCTTCAATTCCACACGACTTAAACGATCAAAGAACATTTCTTCGTAAAAAAATCAAATTAAGTTAAAATCAAAATGAAATTCAAGCTTTTCTACCTTTTCTTTATTTTGGCTATTTTTGCTGCTATTACTTTAGCATTTGACGATCATTTGGTAAAACGTCAAGGGAATGATGAAAAAGATGTTGAAGCCAAAGCTTTGCCTGCTATTCTTCTCGCTCTTGCTAGGAAATTTGGCGCCTCTCTTGTTGCAAAGTGTCGTACCAACTCTTGTCGTGGTAGATGTCCTGATCAACTTTGCAAAGTTCCTAATCTGTCTTGTTGTAACCTGGCATGTGAAATCGGAATTGGTGCTCGCATTCCTCGTGTCGGCGGTCGGTGTTAAATAATGGAAAAACTTTAGAAAATTCACATATTTAATTATATACTTTATATTAGAAGGTTAACGATTCAAATTAAATATGATTTTCTTTTTTCTATTTCCTTCTTAATCTCAATAATATTACTTTTGGTTTAGCACCATTTAGAACATTTATACAATTATAGTTTGTTTCTAGTAAAGTTTATTAGTGTTATTTTTGTATCCCTAGACTATTTATTTACATGATATAAATCATACTAATAAATAATATACTAATAATATTATTACCGCACTTTCAAAATCCTGTATTCACATGAATGTAATGAATGTAATGAATATCCTAATCCTACTTCGGCTATGTTTCTTAGGATTTTGTACTTTCGGAACAAGATTTTGTAGTAATTCATTATAATTACTTAATGAAATATCTCGTAATGACTAATTTCTATTGTCGAATATAAAGATTAAACTAATCGTTCTCGACTATGTGAAAGTGTACAAAAGTGCGAGCACAGAAAAAGGAACAATAGATTTTTATAGTTCCTTTTTTTTAGTTCTAATTTTTTTTTGCAAATTTCACAACGATATCTTAAACTCAGCCCTAAAAGCCATGACATTGTAATAAGATTTCATACTTCGCCATAATTCATTATTTCCTTATGCAAACGGACAATATACTTTCTAAATAAATCTCTCGTTATATTTCTTCTTAATATGGTATAACAAAATGTAGAAAAGCCGGTCGTCATAATAATTTTTTTTTTGTTATATCGACATGTTTAGGGCGTTTTTTTTACAACAGGTTTATTTATATCAAACCTCAAGATGGTATCTAAGCCACTTTGATGATTTCGTATTACAATTACAAAAAAATTTTCAAAAAAACTATTTATATGACGCGTGTTCTTAAGGAAAATCTAAATGATAATCTAAGTAGTAATCGAACACACGATAAATATTAATCGATTTGCTACTCCAAGAATACTCTAAGAATAAATTTTTTCCTAATTCGTTCAAGCAGATCCTGTCTAAAAAGAGTAGACATTGCAAGTGTTTTGATAGAGAACACTTATAGTTTTATGATAAAAAGTACCGCAGAACAACGCAGATTAGGAAAAACATAATAACTTCTTATTACGATAGACAAATAATGTGACATTAATGCAACGACTAATCGTTAAGAATTCTAATTTCGAATTATTTTAATTCAATATATTAACATAAAGGGCCCCATGTAAAAAATGTTACTGAATACTAATTTACAATTATGATAACTAAATTGGGATAATACACTGGACGTAGGGCTGTTGGGCCCTATTTATTTAAAAATTTAAGTTTCAGTTTTTTATAACAAATTTCCTTCCGTAACGGTTAATTTTTTGTTTATAATTTTGTTTTTTTGTTTCATTGTTTTTTTTAGGAGTGTCTTCTTTAGTTAGGTTTCATTTTATTTATGGTTATAGGATTTGGGAGACTTATTTATGAGGATCATGACATTGCACGACAGTACTGTACATATTATTATAATTAACACTTTGTATTTAGATGGATTGTCTTGCTATAGAGCCGTTGATCCTTGAGGTCTGCGGTTTTGTATATTAGTCCGTAGTCCGTACCTTTACAGAAATTAATAAAGAAATGCAGTGCAATGATTTTTAAAAAAAACAAAAACATAAGAAACGGAAAGAAGGAAAGAGACATCAACAAGGAAGCAGGGACGGTCACTTCATCCACGAATGCCTCAAAATAGAACGTATGTGGGTTAGACAAAATCGCGGCAAGTAGAAATAAAAACAAAGATATAACAGAAGATAAATCGATTGACGAAGACGAAGTAATGGATCTGATCAAAAAATGGAGAGTAGGAGTAAAGGAGTTAGGTGAAATTTTCAAAAGAATCTCAAAGTCCAAAGAGGAAGTGAGGCAAAGTAAAAACGATATAACGACATATGCCGTAGAATTATTAGTCTCAGCTTTAAATTCCCCATCTTTATATGATCTTTCAATCATTTGAATAAATCCATTCTTGGAGAAGTATTTTAGTTTATATTCAAGAAGTTTCTTAAATGGATAATGAACACAAGAACACCACATTTCTGGTGTTTCACCACTATACCTATATCCTGCACTACTACAGGATTTAAACCAGAATAGTAGTTAGTTTTAACCATTTTAAGGGTGTAGAGAGTTTATAATTGATCTTAGTGTTTTAGTTAATCTTTATCAACATATACTATAATATTATAGGATTCAAATTTATACAGATTTTGAATAGAAATTCATATATGTAAAACCTACTAATTCTCAATGCAATTAAAATTATCCTTGAATATTGCTTGCACAATTGCTAAAGAGTGTGGTGGATTTTGTCTTTCTGATAATTATATTAATAACATAACTCCTTTAAAGTGGTGTTGCTCTAAAGGCCATGAGTGGAATGCCTGTCTCTCTAGTGTAAAAAATCAAATACTTGGTGTCCATACTGTGTAGGTCGTAGTGTAGCTAAACATACTCTTGAAATGCTAGAAAAATTGCACATAGTAGAAATGGAAAATGTCTTTCCGAAAAATATATTAATTGCATGACAGCTTTACTGTGGCGTTGTTCTAAAGGTTCATGAATGGAATGCACCACTTAGTAATATTAAAAATGCAAATTCATGGTGTCCTCATTGTTCTGGACGATATGCTTGTGATATTGATCAAGCCAAGCAAATTGCATTTAGCCGAAATGGTGAGTGTCTCTCTATCTCATATTTTAATAACTATTATTCAGATTTATTATGGAAATGTGATAAAGGACATATATGGCATGCAACGCTTCATGCGATTAAAAATCATAATACCTGGTGTCCAATTTGCCGGAATAAATATGAAAATTTACGTCGTGAAATTGTTTCTAAATATTTGGGACCATCTTCAGGCATTCGCCGACCAGATTTCTTGAAAATTCCTAAACACCCTAAGGGATTAGAACTTGATATATATTATCCAGAACATGATTTTGCGATTGAAGTACAAGGTTCCCAACATGAAAAATATATCGAATTCTTTCACAGAGATCCCAATAATTTTATCAAACAGCAAGCACGGGATCAACTCAAGAAAGAGAGAATCAGATTTCCCTAAGGTATGTTTGGTATTACGAAGACCCATATGTAGTTATTCCAGAGCATCTTCGTGAATTGGGACATATTGAATAAACTCAAATATTTAAATCTTTTGCGATTCGTTATTATTTTTTTCGAATATAATTTATTCATCTGGAATTACACGAAAAATCTAACTAATTATTATTATGAGCGAAATCTGCAACCATATGGTTAATCGTCTGCGCAAATTAAGGTGGCTTAGTTGTGAAACTTTTCTGTCGCACAGGATCTATTGTATGACGGCAATGTGATTTTATGATTTTATCAAATAAAACTGATTCGGAATTTGAATCAATATAATGATTATTTTTTCATAAAAGAACGATAGTTTCTTCTCGCTCTTCTAATAGTCTTCTATTATGGCTCAAACGGCAGGTCAATTACTAGGTCAGGTCGTTCCAGTTTGCCAATGGATCCCGCAAAATACACCTAATACAACTTCGACAATACCTGCTTACCCACGATTTCCAGACAACGTGAGGGAATGGATCGGATTCTTTCGAACTGTTAGACTTGTTGGTACGCAATTTCCCCTTCCGGGAGGTCAATTCCCATTGGATTCATAAGTGCATCATCTCTCATAGTTGAAGGAAATGCAAAAAGTCGTTTACGAGAAAATGTTTTATTGCCTGTCGAAGCAGTATTACTACAAGGAGCAATATTTGATGAGACACCCGCCGGATTTTTGGGCTCTTCTGATCATGTTCTATGCACTAATAATTCCACAGTGGCCAAGATGCCGGTAGAAATGAAAACGCGCCACAATCTTGATTTACGCGGTTATAATTTCTGGGATATTTATCGATATAACGACCGGCGTGGAATAATGGATCCAAATTTTATTAGTGACCAGCGTCGAAGATTCGATCCAAATTTTAGATTCAAGAAACGTATCCTATCGCAGATATTTGGTGAAATGGCCTGTAATGGCCTCCATTATGGAATTTTATCAAATTATAGCGATACATATTTTCTCAAGCGAGAAGAAACAAATCCAACCACCATTTATATTTCCCATGTTGTTCAACCCACTGATACTAATCCGACTTTACGCGAATGCGTTTGCTATATCAGCCAACTTGCCATTAATGATAATGTTGGTAATAGATTGGGACGTGTAGAGCTTGACAGTTATTCATATAATGATGATGATGATGATGATGACTCTAGTTACCATGATCCTGATGATTATGACGACCCATATTACGACCCTGATGATGACTCTGATGGCTCTGATGATGATGGTGATGATTATACTGGTTTAAGGAAGAGGAAGAGAACATCAAAAAGCAGTAGTAAACCAATTGCGAGTTCATCCAAGGGAATTACTACTGTAGATAAGTACATAGGTGGCGGATCATTTGGTAAAGTTTTTTCTGGATATTATGATAATCAAGATGTAGCATGGAAGACTTGTGATGCATATAAGAAGCAAGAGGCGATGAAAACGCTAAAGCATGAAGCTCATATATATTCTATTTTGAAAGAATGTCAAGGTACAATTTTTTTTTTCATTCATAATATTTTTGGATAATATTAACTTGTCTATTGCAATATTGATATTAGGTCGTGATATTCCACGTTTGTTCTACAACGGTTACATTTATGACGGATATCTTTTTGCGTTAGCGTTACAATTAATTGAGAGCGCCCATCACGTTGATCCGGAAAGACTCACTAAAGAGGAAAAAAAGTTAATAGTCAATCAGCTAAAGTCAATACATAATTGTGGCGTACTACACAATGATATCTCAGAAAAAAATATTCTATATGAACCAAAGAGTCGCCATTACTTTTTAATTGATTTTGGCTTAAGTGAGGTCGTGGGTAGTGAGTCGCCGAAATTGCGCCAGGAAGAAAGAAGATTAAAAAAATTTTTAAAACTTTAAATATTTGGACGCATAGGACTATACCGCATTATCGCACTAGATGAAGAATAAATGAATTTTTATTATTGCAAGCTACAATATATATATTACTTTCATAAAATGTAATAAATCATGAAATAAATCATATATTTTGCACAACTTATTTTCCAATAAATATTTATTAAATAATAAAAGTGAGTTGGAAAAAGAAACATATGTTGAAATCTTTATTATATTTTTTTTTATTTTTTCGTAAAGCAATAAATGAGAAAGGGCCGGCCGGCAAAGTAAAAAATGAAAATAATAAAATAAATGGAGTAGCAGGATGTTTCAAGGGAGGAATTAGCCGAGCCCTAACCCATATAATGGCAGTTCCTACCCACTACTCCGCATTATTATTATTATTATACTATCAACCCATCTCATAATTGACATCACTGTGCTAAAATTTTGGATCCCTTTACCATAGTAAAAACTTTCTACAGTACTCTTTCCAACTTTCCAATCTTTTCCTAGTAAGATGTCGAATTTCACGTCTCACAGTTTCAAACGCATAGTCATTAGTCTCCCCCATTTCCTTTTTCGAGTCGAAAACTCTCTTAAAACGGTTCCTATTTTCATCTAAAGATGAGTTGGATGAACTGGATGATGGAGTAGAATTACTTGACCGATAAAATTTTTTCAATTGATCTGCAAATTCACCTGAAATTAAATCCCGTGTACGCTGATCAATTTGATATTACACGAAAAATATTTTATTAAGTAGTATATCGCCGTTATTTAAAAAATTATTTAATAATATAGGGCGTAAGTTAATTCTATTATTATTATTATTATTTATTGTCATAATATTTACAAATAATTTAAACTAACTAAATTCTTCATTTAAAAAATTACTTAAAATATAGAGAGTAAGTTATTAATTTAATTCTATTATTACTTATTGTTATAATATTTGCATATAATTTAAACTAACTAAATTCTTTATTGAAATAATTATTTAATAATATAGAGAGTAAGTTATTTATTTAATTCTATTATTACTTATAGTTATAATAATTTACATTTAATTTAAACTAACTAAATTAAAATTATTTAATAATATAGGGCGTAAGTTATTTATTTATCGCAGTTTTCAGAATTCTGTGTACGTTGTGATGATTGAGTGATTATGATTGCAGGACGATTACATGATGATTACAGGACAACATAGTCCGATTTTTGTCCGGTAATTGTCCTGTAATCTAATAATTTTTTTATTAGATGATCTATAGGGGGGTAGCACAATTTTGAAAAGTGCGATAATTCTATTTTAACTTATTGTTATAATATTTACATACAATTTTAAACTAAATTATTTTGTAATTTATTTTAGTTTGTAAGTTGTAAGTTATTTATTTAATTCTATTTTTACTTATTATTATAATAATATTTACATATAATTTAGTTCGTAAGTTATAAGTTATTTATTTAATTCTATTATTACTATTTGTTATAATATTTACATGTAATTTAACTAACTAATTTCTTTATTTAAAAATTATTTAATAATATAGAATGTAAGTTATTTATTTAATTCTATTATTACTTATTGTCATAATATTTATAATATTTAAATTAACTAAATTCTTTATTGAAAAAATTATTTTGTAATTTATTTTAGTTGGTAAATTATAAGTTATTTATTTAATTTTAATTTTACTTATTGTTATAATATTTACATATAATTTAAACTAATCGCTTACTTGATTTTACTAGTAAAGAATTGAATGAAATTCTTGAAAGTGAAGATTCACATACTAGTAGTATAACTGAAGAATTAAATGATTGTATAATTAATGATATGAATAATTAGGTATGTAATATAGTATACAAAGAAAAATTAATTTTGAAAGTTTATTATGTAAAAATTAAATTTATTTATTTAATTATTCAGATGAAATGACTAATTATTAAGGATTCATAGTTTTTTTAAGTGATATTTTACATGATAACATGATGTATTCAACAGAAATTGTTTTTTATTTCATTCTTTAGTTTTATTTAAACACTAAGGTTAGAGTAATAAGATATTTTACAAGTTTCTTAGTTTGTAATTTAAATAATTTTTTTTTTTTATAGCTTACCCAATATTAAATTTTTATATTTTACTTAGAATTATTTAAACAGAGTAGTAAATATTTTACAAGCTACTTAGTTTGTAATTTAAATAAATCTTTTTTTTATAACTTTTCTAATTATTAGATATAAATTATCAAAATAATAATATAAAATAATATAAGTATATAAAACTATTTTTAATGTATAAAATTAAATAAATAATGTAAAATTTTTTATACTCGTATCAATATATAGCTGATTTTATTTAATTTATATTGATGACTTTATTTTAGTACTATTTAAATATTTTGAGTAACATAACGATAAGAAACTACAACAAGGACATTTGCTGGATTGTCTAAAGACCCTTTTATAAATTCTGCTAGCTTTATTATGCATTGATTTACAGTGATAGTGCAATGAGGTAGTTTTATCTCATCAAATATGAGTTCCTGTCAGTGACATAAATCTTTGCGAGGATCTGAAGTCTGGTTTTATACCATGGTTATGTCCTTGTAACTTTCAGATTCGCCATTGACCTTTTGTTTCAACAATAAAATGGAAACACATATTAATAAAGTTAATATACCGTATTATAATGATGACATGAATCTTACCAAATCAATGAGAATTTGGTTTTATTGAATATTTCTTCGAGTCTTTGATGACAATATGGATGGATAATGTATCTTTGTCCATTTTTTATTCTTATTAAAACCACAAGATAAATAAGTAAGCTGCAAGGAAAAAAAAAATAAGATTAATAATACTGTCAATAAACACTTTTATCAAATTTAATACTTAAAAATTTCTCGAAACTGTTTGCATACAGTCGAAAATATCTTTTGCTAATAATGTATTCCCTTTTGTCCAATCGTTACGCCAGTAGTTCTTAGTCACTCAAATGCTAAAGAAAATAAATAAACAAATTTATGTAGTTGCTGATTGCTTGTAATAATTTTAAGGAAGGTACCTTACCCTGTTGTATTCAATTAATTAATGAACTTGGACGATCTTGGTTCCATATCTTTACAGAACATTTAACATATTCTGGCTTAAGTTCATTGAAATACATAATTGACAATAGACATAATAATATACAAAGTTAATATTATAGCCAAATTTCCGCAACTTTGCATAAAAAATACTAACAAAAATATATCAATTCCTTTCGCATATGATAAGGTGGGATCGATTTAAATCATAATAACTTATGATAGAGAGATTTTGTGCTCATTCTTCGTTACAACTATATATATATATCAAAGAGAATGAGATTGGGCTATATCACTTAAAGAAATCTCAAACTGATATTTCTCAATGCTTACGTCATTTTCAGAGACATTATTATGACAACATTATTAATCGCATGACTCCATAAGACGACCTTGAATAATATGATCCAAATTAACTAATATTTATTTTTGAAAGATTATGTTATCATCAATGAATACTATATATTTCGTGAACCACCTCTATAAAAGGGTTACTATCGTTCTCACATATTATTTCTACATCAGACGCTTGACTTTGAGAGGAATGCAGATTAGAAATGTAAAACAGAACGCAAAACTGAATTGATCAAAATTCCTGAATGGAATTTCCCGTGGAAACTTATGTCCTTCTCCTCAGCTGAACTAGATGATTCATCTTCTACTCTTTGTCGTTCTAGAGTTTGTCTTTCGTCATCTTCAATAGTAGTAGTTTTGATCTACCCATGTCATTTTTAAGGAGGATGCTTAGCCTCAAATTATTTGTTAAAAAGTATTATTGATTCGTAAGCTATTTTCACTATAAATCTTTATGAAATATCCTATACCTATAGATTTTGTATTTTCGATCAAATTTCTTATTTTTTTTTTTTTGAACTCTTAAAATTTCCAAAAAGATAGAGTTAAGAGATAAATATTATGATTTATGTAAAGCTTGCAGGTCATATGACAAATCAATTAATAATTAATTTTATTTTTCCATAAAATATTCTTGAAATTATTTGAAAGACTAATTTTCAATCAGCAAATCATCAATGTGTTTTAAGCTATATTTTAATAAAATTTTAAATATTTTTAATGATTATTAACATCAAACAATAAAAATAAATGTACTTCACTTATTTATTTTTCTGTTATATTCTGTGATCCATTTTGCCTTTTTAAAGTAACTTTCTTTAAGTTTTGGTTCTCTTTTTTTATAGCTTCCATCATTTTGTTTATTATATACTAATTTATCGTTAAATCTATGTTGGAGACAAATCCACCTTCACCAATTTCTTTTATATATATCAAACGGTACCATTCAAGAAATTTTTCAATAAAAATGTATATACTATTTCTCATATCATACATTGAAACTTTTTATCAATATCAGAATTACCGCTGGACCACTACCATTCTTTTAAGTGGATCACATTCTTCACATCGTAATAATACAGTTTATCGCAATAAGAGCAATATTTATAGTATTTAAATTCGGGTTTCATTAAGTATATTTTTGATACAGAAATTCTCTGTTTTTAATATTTTATATACTGTAAATACATATTCTGTTTTTAGTATTTTATGTATATTCATATTTTGTGTTACTAAATAACCAAAATAAAAGGCAAGATTTTTTCCGACCCGTATAATATTTATGAGTTTAAAGTTCTCATTCTAATAATGAAATAAAAAAAAACAATTTTTTTTTTGAAAAATAAGTAAATTTATAAAAAAAATTCATGAGATCTCATTATAATTTAGCTAACAGAAATAAAAAATCGTAAATCTTGTATCAATTCATGTAACGCAAATAAACGAAAAAATTTTCATTTCTCATACTTTTTTAATAAATATGGGACTTATGCCGTATATTTGTTAATTAAACAATATTTGTATTTTTTAAACTTCAACTTTGAGAGCATTTAATGTTTGGGCTTTAAGTGTTTAAGGTGATTTACATTGTAGATGTAAATTAGTTTATTTATATATGTAAAAAGATAAAATGTAAATTACGTTTAATACATTTAATACAATAGAATAGATTATATATCCATTATAATGATTATATACTTTCAACGCTAAACCAATCCATATTCCTAAAAACTATTTTTATTTCCCTATTTTATTAAAAATCAAACTCAGTAGACAATAATTCGCCAACATACCATGTGAGAAACTAGTAAAGGTTCAAAATGTCCTTTTTTTTTTATCTTTTTTCTTTGTCTTCTCTTAATATTTTTTTTTCTTTTCACCTTTATTCTTTAAACAAACAATATTATGAAATTATAATAAAGAAAGTCGTCTTTTAACTTTTTTTTTTAATAGATGAAATGTTCTTTTATATGTTGTTTCATCAACAGCGTATTACTGTACAACTCTTTGTGAACCTTACAAACTCCTTAATTTTAAACAAAGACTTAATACTTGTATAAAAGAAGTAAAGTAATAAATTACTAATAAGTATAACAAATAATTTTCGATCAACAAAATTATTTTACGTAAGATTACACCATACGATCACTTTTTTACGCCATCAATGTGAATTTTAGCCAATTAGAAAAAGGATGATCATCGCGGCTGCGCCCCATATTGGAATGGTAACTCAAAATTAAATTTTTCGACTAATTCGACTAATTAAAATTTTTATTCTAAATTGGTGTTACACAACGACAAAAAAAGTTAAAACTACGGTGGAACAAAATCAGCCACAATTGATCTACAATGTTACCATACATTTAGTCGACATAACGGTGAGACGAATCAAAATATTTTTTTTTTTTTCTTTTTCTTTCCTTTTTACAATGTCTGATAAACAACTTCTTAATACAGATATTATTTATTCATTTAATATTAATAATTCATTAAATGAATTTTCTCAAATTATTCAAAATTTTAATAAAATAAATATAAAAGAAATAAAACCTACGATCAAAAATAGTATTTTTGATGGAGATTTAAGTATTATAATTGATGAAATGGTTAATTTTATTTTTAAAGAATTAAATGAAGGAATATATAAAGAGATAATAAATAAAAATTTTATTAATTTTATGAATGATCATGAAATAATTCCAAAAGAAATTTATAATTATATTTTAAATGATCAAAATAATTCAAATTCTATTTATTTACTTGGATATTTTAATTATTATGGAATTGAAGTTAATATTAATCAACAAAGAGCATTTGAATTATATCAAAAATCTATGAAGTTAAAGAATCATGTGGCACAATTAGAACTTGCTGAAATGTATATTTATGGAATTGGTGTTAATAAAAATCATGATAAAGCTTTTGAATTAACAAAAGAATTAGCAGATATAGGTATTCCAAATGCAATAAATAAGATAGGTTATTGTTATGAAAATGGAATTGGAACTAATATTAATAAGAAAAAAACATTTGAATTTTATAAAGAGGCAGCAGATTTAGGAAATTCGAATGGAATAAATAATTTAGCTTATTGTCATTATAATGGAATTGGAACTATTGTTGATAAACAAAAAGGTTTTGAATTATATAAAAAGGCTGCAAATTTGAAAAATGATTTAGCTCAATATAATCTTGCTTTTATGTATGAAACTGGAAATGGAATTGAAGAAAATATCGAACAAGCAGTTTATTGGTATAAAAAATCTGCTGAGCAAGGATATCTAAATGCTCAAAACAAATTGAAAATGCTTCCAAAGTTATAATAATAGATCATGTATTTTTTTTTATATAGAAAAAATGACCCTTTCATACTTTCAAATTTATGTATTTAGCAAATTATACAAGTTTATAAGCAAATAGTGTTAGGAATTTATTATTAGTTTTGATCATTTTAATTAGATTTTATTGATATAACCTATTTATCACATATTCTTTTTTTATGAAAAATAAAAAAAAATAAATAGGAATGTTATAATTTGTTTTTGCCGATTGGTTTCTCCAATTTGAACTAAAATTTGAATAAAACAAAGGAATTGGGATAAATCCGGATAAAATGAACGAACTTGATATAATATATGAAAACTGGAGATTTGATTCTTTCATTTTATCAAATGGTTTAAAGGAAATGAAGGAAACTTTAGTTAAAATAAATCTGGATTTAAAACATATAATTAATTTTTCAAAAAAGAATAAGATAATTTGTTAAGATAATTTAAATAAATTGATAAAGAATTTTTAAAACGTCAAGGAAAGGTTCGGTTCTATATTAAAAATAAAATTAATAATTATTTTATAAATAAAAATTTTAAAATAGAAAAACTTTTACCACCTTCTTTATTAACGTATGAGATTATTAATTGATGAATTAACAGGTTTTAGTAATAAATTACCGAAATCCTCTATCCAAAGAATCCTTGAGCGAAAAAACTTAAAATTATTATATAAAATAAGAAACGCTGCCATATTATTAATGATTGCTGGCTCCCCATAGATAGGCATTTGAATTTGTGCGATCAACTAATCAGGAATGCAATTCATTTAGCTGCTAATTACATTAGTTATGATAAAATTTTTTTAAATAAATAAATAAATTATGAAATAGTTCACAATCGATAAAAAAAAAAGTCTAAAGTGCTTCTTTGTTATATTCTTTTAGTCGTATCTATATTTCAATAATTATATGCTAAAATATGGACACTCTAGAATGTGCAACAGGCTAAGGGATAGATATTCGGGAACTCTTCCGGATCATTCCGACAAAAATTTTAACGGAAGAAAAAGACGGTTTTAGAGAAATTTTATTAATAAAACATTCAAAAATAACCTGAAAAGTGGAGTCAGCATATAATTTTACAGAATATAGATATAGGTTACTTAGAGAAGATAAAGAGTTACTACACGCTGGCTCTAAAGGTTCAAAGAGAACGGAGAAATAATGCGACTAACAGAGTAGAAGATATGCTTTTAGAGTCAATACGGAAGTCTGTTGTCATAAAAAAAACTATAAAATATTAAGTTGTACTAGTACGTCTTATGAGATATATATAACGATGAAATGAAAAGACTTTCGAAAGAAATTTTGGATCTTAGACGTTGGCTGCGGGAGCGCAGCAGCGAAACAAAGTAATGTCACATGATGATGTAACAAAAAAGGTAAATGACGAATTATATTAGAGAAAAATAAAATATCTCAAGAAGTTGAATCAACGTGATTAGAAAATTAAAAAAGTAAAGTCCAACACTATAAATAGCCGTAAAGGGAAAGGTGTGGATAAACTACAGAAATCTAGGTTACAATACGTCATTGTTTAGCAACACACCGATTGAGATACTTGTGTACGACATTCCGGCGCGAGCGATAGAAAGAAGATAAAATTATTACTGTCTTCAAAAGCTTAGGATTGGTTAAAAGAATCTCGATTAAGACATAATTCAAGTATAAGTTAGTAAAAATAGAAATACATTTAAAGAGAGAACAAGAAAGTGCGGAGTGGTTGCAGAGAGCTAATATCAATATGATGATCGAACAATAAGAGGTTTTTGTTCCGGCTTCCAAAAAGTTATCAGAAATTAGGGAGATGTATAAGCTCGTAGCCTACAAAGAAGAATTGAAGAACTTGACGGATAAAGACATTATTGATTTTTATGGAGGATATGACTGGTTTTTTGGTAAAACCATTTACATTAAGAATAAAAGGTTTTTTTTTACGCGTATTTTGGTGATCAAAGTTAGAAGCAGCAGTCGGTAGCGAAAAGTATAGAATCAGAAGGCGTCGAACGGTGGAAGGCGTGTGGATCATTCCTCAAAGGAAAAAAAAGTTTTGATATATTCATTTCTAATAGGAATTTCCAAGTCTGTGATGAAAGATGTCGGGGCAATAATGAGCGTGGGATTAGAGGAATATGATAAGAATAGGAGAGATTTATGAGAAAGACGTGGAGGAGATTACGGCAGGAATAACTGAAGAATACGTTAAGGAAAAGGATGTGCTTAAAAAAGGTATACAGCAGAGTGCGGAAAGAATAATAAAAGCGATGGGTTGGAGTTTAAATGAATTGTTAGTACAGTAAATAAAGGTAGAAAAACGCAAGTTTTGTTTGAAGAAATACAAAAAACTAACGTTGAGCAAATTGCCCGAAGGATAGACCGAAGCCGATTGTATCATCGAAGAGTCATCAGGAAATTTTTTTATATGTAAAAAATATGCAATAATTTGTGCATGAAAAAATTGATTTGCACACCCTGAAAATGCATATTAATTGCATATTTAATATATATAATGTATTTTCCATACAATATATTGTAAAAAAATGCGTTGATTTTTATATAAATTTGTACAAAGAATTATACATATAATATTGTTAATTATATTGCATAAATTTTGAGAAATTTAACTATTTGTGCAATATTGAATACCCTGAGAATTTTGTGATGGTTTGGATGATTGCATTGTAGATATTGTTAATAAATATTGCAAGAGTGCGTTGTCGAATCTCGTTTCTAAGGATGTGTCGAATACGAACGATCATGTGACTCCGAATAAAATGGTTGACGTCATCAACGGATTTTAGGAAGAAGAAAAAAGCAGAGTTACCAGTAACTGAAGAGGATATGAATTTGTATGATCAGGTGAATCGGAATTGTTCATCACCCGAAATTAAAAAAGAAGAAATTTCTGAAGAAAAAATTAGACAAAAGCGAAGTAGTAAGGAGGAAATCAGTAGGGTGAAAGTGATAGGAGAGTGAGTCAGAAAATATTGCTACGGAGGTAGCATGTGAAAAGTCTGGTCAAGTAGGGAAAGGAAAGAAAGGTGTTAGGTCGAAGAAAAAGAAGAATAAAAAGAATTGGTAAGGTTATCAATAAAATATCTAATGTTTAGGGACGTAAGTATTAGCGTAGATTTTTAATTATAAAGGTAAATTAAGAATCATAAATAGCTAGTATGTATTTGGGTAGTGCTGTAGTTTAAAGTTTTATTTTTTGGTTTTATTTTGCAGTGCGTAGTACTACGCGATTTTCGCAATACTAATAAAGTTTATAAAAAAAAAAAAACAATAGGCTAAGCCTCCTTGTGGCGTAACACATTTCAAAAATAATAAATAATAAAACACTCTAATAAACGTACGTATCTTTAACTGCTCTAGGAGTTTGCTTAAAATTCAGAAATATTGGTTTTGACTTTAATAATTAAAACTAATTTTATCGTTCATACAGAGGGCGATCAAAATTATCCGGCCAGTTTATTTTGCTAAAATTTTGTTGATCATGATGTGTTAATGTAATATAAATAAGATATAACTTAGTATTTATAATCACAATAAACAAATTCCAATGCTTCATATTTTTCGAAAATATGAAGTCACCCTATAGTATGAATTTTATAAATTTTACAATTTTGTGTAAACAAACTTAAAAATATTAAAAATATCATAATTTCGCCAATATCGATCTGATCGACCTGTGCTTACCACCATTCGAATCGTCTCAATGAGACGGATCAAAAGAGCTATAAATCGGAAAATCTCAATCACAGGAACAGAAAATATCATAGATGACATTTAGGCTTTTAGAGCGTAATCATGTGATGAATATCGATCCTACAAACATTAAATTATTACCATTCAAATCCTCTCAATGAGACGAATCTGATGAACCCAAAATTTCAAAATTTCAATCACTAGATCTCAAAATAACCTTAACATACAATTTTAAATTTTAAAATTAGCAAATTTCGCAAACTAGAAAAATTTATAATTTACATAGTATTACATTTGCATAATACCTGTAATTAATATGTAATATAATGGCATAATACTTTTTCAACATTATGCTTGCATACCTTATTAAATTTTCTGATAAAACAACTTGAAAAGTACTATGTTAAAGTTGCATTGAAAAGTATTACTCCAGAATATTATAAAAAATCTATCAATAGCATATATCTGTGAATTGGGGAGTTATTTTTGCAAATGGAGATAGAATTTATTATTAAAATTTTATCTGAATTAGTAAACAAAGACATAATGAATTTGTTTAACTTAAATTTTTATTATTGCTATATTATATATATATAAATTATTTCAACTTGAAAAGTGGCCGGATAATTCTGATCGCCCTCTGTAGTTTTTATTAATATTTGTGAAAACAGATATTTAAGAATTTAAAGTTGTTCAGTAAGTTTTGGACTACTTAAATAAATATTCAAGTATTTAAGTATGTATAATTTATCTGTATAAATAATTTTATGTGAAATTATAGTGACGTACAGTTAGTTTTTGCGCTTTTATTAGGTGAAATAAGTTTTGAGTTTAATTAAGTTCATTTTGCAAGTGTAAAATAACTTGTATTAAATTTATAAGTTGGTAAAAATGATGATTATTTGAGCCAGTTTGATAAAAAATTAACATCTAAATGAAAGAATTATTTTTTAATGTTCTTGGAGAAAAAAAGCAATATTTTTAAAAAATTATTCTATTAATTTTTAATAAGATATATACTGTATGGAGAGATGCTCATCAGTGCGACAACTTGCACCCAACTAAATAGCGACTCCAGTGAAAGAATTGAACGTAAGAGAGATAAAGAAGTAGACAAAGACAAGGTTGTGGAACCAGAAGCCGTCATGTTGAATGAGAATAAGAAACGCGTAGTGACATCTCAGGGAAGCAGAATCGACGAATAAACAATAAGTCATTCAACGAATAAACAAATTTGAAGTAAGTTGGAAAGGGTTGCAGATCAACGTGGTCAAGTGGAGAATTTTTGACTTCTGTTCGAATACGTTTCCGTCAACGGGAATTAAATAGGCTTTATTTTTAATGTATTATTATTATTTTTTTTTCTTATTTTTGTTTCCATAATTTTTATTTGTTTTTAGTCAATATTATTTCTGTATAGTTTCGCTTTAGTTTATCAAATACAAATAGTGTAGTGTAATTACTATGAATAATTAGAAAAGCAGAAAACATCGGAAAATATTGTAGATTGGTTAGTTATAGAGGTATTGGTGATTTATTATCAAGTATCAACGCTTCTAGGTATTTTTGAAAATTATGTAATCTTTTCAAGATTTAAATAATTAATAAAATGCGTTACTAATTATAAAAAAAAAAAAGAAAATGTTCATCAGTGCGACAACTGCGAAATGGGAGAACCTTTGCTGCGCCACAATAATGACGTAGGTGCTTGTGATCAACATGGTTGTAATGCATCTTTTAATGCATTTAATACATACCACAACAGGAAAAGCGGGGGCTCAGACAAATCATGTGCTTATAAGTCTAGCCATTCGGAAAATAAGTTTTTCTATCTATAATTTACTGTATATAGTAAATTATTTTTTTTACAAGATATTAGCATTAACCATTAAAAGTATCTATTATATTAATTTTATGATTTTAATTAAAAAAATACAAAATAAGAAAGTCAGTTTTTTGAAAAATCCCATTTTTCAGCAAATGATCGTCAAAATCGATTATGTAATTTAAACCTACGTAATCGGCCGAGCCTCCCATATAATGCATTTAATACATCCTGTGATCACAAACAAGGACCCGAGTAATATATATTGTAAATGTGCAAGAGATTGACACTCATTTACTATTAGTTCTACGCAACTCTTTAGGGCCAGAATTACGTAATGTCGCCTGGCATTATCCAAAAAAAGGGAGAATCTACACGTTTTGGTTCATTCTACGTAAATTCTGTATTGTCACCTTTTATGTATTGCTTGGGTCCTAACATACATAACATCCTTTGATTGCATACAATACATCCTTTGGTTGTATCCCTGTAAAAAAGTCGATCCGTTTTTTATATTCCATAAAGGCATATTTTCGGCATTTTCCGTGAATGGATCCGTGAAAGGCTCATTTTTACGGAGTTTTACAGAAATAACGGATAAAATTTTTTATTATGGTATATAATTAATGCATTGATATATCCTTTGATTGTACAAAATGCATTCATTATTTCCTTTGATTCCTGTAATACAGTATTAAGTTAACAACTATATATATATCAACATTAATTAAGGCGTTTAAAAAAGAAAAAAATATTTACACTATCTTTTTAGGGTGAATTTTGATAAAAAAAATGGCTTACAGTAATTATAGAGGTAAACGGCATATAGCATGAATATTAAATACAAATTTGAATTATTCTAATTATTAAAACAAATTCATAATATAATAGAACTAGTTTCAAGAAACACTAATAAGAAATATAGAGGTAAATAACATTAAAGTTTATATTATTTATTGGGAAAATATATATCTCGCCCTCCTGTATGATGTTAAAATTTCGCATTCTGCAACAAAAAAAGAAATTCTTAATATACAACCTTTTTAAAAAAAATGTCTACTATATGTATTTTCCCCTGATCTACAAGTTTACTTAAAGCATCAAAGGTGGTTTTGAATGTCATTTTTAACTTATTTGACAAAACTTTTTTGGGGTTTTTTTCGTTAAATCACGTTAAGTATTTAATTCTGGCCAGAATTAAATGATCGGCATACAAAATTCCTTTTTGGAACAAAGGCGAGATTTAATCATCACACATGGGACGAGATCTAAATTTACCCATATTTATTAAATAAAGTTAATTATAAACAATATGGTTATAATACTTTATGGATATTCACATATAATTTAAACTAACTATTATTTATATTTAAAGACTTTTTAGATATTTCGCTTTGTAAGTTAATAGGTTATCTTATAATTGAATAATAATGATGGAGTTGCTTATTTTTGCTATTTTCTATATAACTAAATGATTTATCTGACGATTTATAATATTATTATAGTTGGTAAGTCATCTTTCATTTTTCACCACATTTTGCATTAATATTCAAATAACTAAATCCTTTACTTGAATAACAAATTAATAATTCACTATATTATAGATGATCGTAAGTTGTGGTATTTAATATATTATATCTTTTAATATTTACGTATATTTTAGCTAACTATATTCTTTATTTAAATAATTAGTTTGTAAGTGATACATTCAATTTAGAACATATGCTTTTGTAATAGTATTTACATCTAATTAATTTATAATTAATAATTACAGGGTGTAAGTTAATATGCTATCTATATTTCTATTATTTAGGCCGTTCAAACTTAATTGTTTGTTTAACATACAAACCCCTATATGTTTTTAAAAATCAAACTTTTATAAACGTATTATAACAACAGTACAACATAAAGTTATTTGTTTCAATGTCCCCTTTAAATTTATAATTTCCAAAATTTCCATTTCTGGTTGTTAAACAAATAATTAAGTTAGAACAGCCTTATATAATTTAAGCTAACTAAATTCTTTACTATTAAAAAATTATTTGACAATTTATTTTAGTCGGTAAGTTATAAGTTAGTTATTTAAATATATTTGATATAATTTAATCTTTTATTTAAAAAATTATATATAGGAGGCAAGTTATTTAATTCTCATATTTATATTTGCATATAATTAACATATAATTTAAACCAACTAAATTCTATATTTTTATGTTTAAAGCATATGTCTGTCGAGGTGAGTTATTTATTCAACTCTTATTGTTACATATTTATATAATATTTACACATAATTTAAATTAACTAAATTCTTTATTTGATAATTCATTTTAGATTGTAAGTTATAAATAATTTAATGGCTTTATTATTTCACACCACTGGTGCCCAACACTATAGTGGGTTTTTTTCATATTATATTAATAGAATCAATCGGCTTAACTAGACTACAAATAATAGAATAAAAAGTTAAGTTGCACGATATGACTATATTGTTGAACACCAGTGATGTGAAATATAAGTTTGTTATTTTTAAATTCTCTTATTAGTATATATCAAACATATAATTTAAACTAACTAAATTCTTTATTTAAAAATTTATTTAATAATATAGGGAGTAAGTTATTTATTTAATTTCATTATTATATATTTATATAATATTTACATATAATTTAAATTAAACTAACGAAATTCTTTATTTAAAAAATTATTTGGAAATTATTTTAGAATGTAAGTTATTTATTACTTATCAAATTTATCATTTCACACCACTGGTATATGATACTTTCACAAAAACTATGGTCTAAACTAAACAAGTATATATTTGAAGTATATGCTACAGCATTGGATACTGCAAAGTAAAAAATAATTATTATATGATATCAATAGAATTAGCTTAGCGAAACTACACATAATATAGAGTAAAAAGTTAAGTTACAAATAAAAAAAAATACAATGAATTACTATTGTGTCATGGGCACCAGGGTGGTGTGAAATATAATTTATTATCTTTAAATTAATTCTATTATTAAATATTTATATATAATTTAAACTAACTGAATTCTTTATTTAAAAATAACTTAACAATATAGGGGGTAATGTTATTTATAATTCTATTAGTATATATTTATTTAATCTTTATATATAATTTAAATTAACTATATTCTTTATTAAAATATTATTTAATAATATAGAGGGTAAGTTTATTTATTAATTCTACTATTGCATATCTATATAATATTTACATATAATTTTATTTAAAAAATTCTTTAATAAATTTATTTTAGATTGTAAGTTATTACTATTTATTTACTTTATTATTTTATATGTTTATATAATCATATTTACGTATAATACTTAAAATAATTATTTTAATAATATAGGGAGTAAGTTATTTATTTAATTTTATTATCACAGCTTTATAATATAATATACATATAGTTTTATTAACTAAATTGTTTATTTAAAAAATTATTTTAGGATGTAAGTCATAAGTTATTTATTTAAGTTTATTATTATATACTTGCATAATATATACTTAATTATAATTTGAACCAACTTAAAAAATTATTTGGCAATATAGGGGGTAAGTTATTATTGTAATTCTCATATTTATATATTTATATAATATTTACATATGATTTAAAAAAACTAATAAATCCTTTATCTGAAAAATTATTTGGGAATTTATTTTAGATTGTAAGTTATAAGTTATTTATTTAATTTTATAATATAGTATACATATAATTTTTATTATTTAAACTAACTAATTCTTTTATTTAAAAAAATACTTGGGAATTTATTTTAGTTGGTAAGTTATAGGTTATTTATTTACTTCTATATTTATTTATATAATATCTAACACATAATTTAAACTAACTAAATTCTTTATTTAAATAATTATTTTAGAATGTAAGTTATAATTATTTATTGAAAATTACCAGTGGTGATGGACATCATACCAACATTATGGTGTGAATTGTGATATTTATAGCAATACCCTTATTTATTAAATTACATTATTACCTTCTACATATTTATATTATATTTCAATACAATTTAACTAAATTCTTTATTTGAAAAACTATCCGCAATTTATTTTAGTTGGTAGGTTATAAATTATTTATTTATCAGTTATTATTAATTTTACATATAAAATTTAAACTAAATTCTTTATTTAAAATATTATTTTAGAACGTAAGCCATATTATTTATTTATATCCATTATTGCTTATCTAATAATTATATAATATTTAATTAACCAAATTATTTATTTAAAAATTGGTTGACAATATAGGGGGTAAGTTAATTATTTAATTCTCGTATTTAAATAATTGATATTTTACATACGATTTAAACTAATTAAATTATTTAAAATATTATTTGTTAATATAGGGAGTAAGTTATTTATTTAATTCTAATTTTCGCGTACTAAATATAATTTAAACTAATTATTATATTCTTTATTTAAAAAATTATATGGAAATTTATTTTTAGTTGGTAGGTTATAAGTTATTTATTTAATTAATTTTTTACATATTTATGCAAATTTACATGTAATCATATAATTTAAACTGACTAAATTCTTTATTTAAAAATTATTTGGTAATATAATATAGTTGGTAAGTCATATGATATTTAATTCTATTATTATTATTACATATTTTGTATAATATTGAGATATGATTTAAACTAACTAAATTTTTTATTTGAAAATTATTTAACAATATAGCAGGTAAGTTACTTATTTAGTTCTATTATGAAATATTTGTATACAATTTAAACTAACTAAATTCTTTATTTAGATTGTAAGTTGTTTTATTTGATTCGATTATTATTACATGCTTATATAACATTTACACATAATTTTAAACTAAACTCTTATTTAAAATTTTTTTGATAATACAGCAAGTAAGTTATTTATTATTACATGCTTATCTAATAATCATATATTATTTGTACTAAGATTTTTATTCACAAAATATTCAATAATGTATTGTACTAGGGCGTAAGTTATTTATTTAATTTTATTATTACATATTATGAAAATTTGCATAAACTTAAATTAACTGAATTCTTTATTTAAAACTTATTTAATAATATAGTCTGTAAGTTATTTATTTAATTCCATCATTACAAATTCATGTAATTTATGTAATATTTACATATAGTTCAAACTAACTAAATTCTTGATTTAAAATTATATAATGATATAGCACGTAAGTTATTTTTTTTTTAATTTTATTATTTACGTATTATGCAAAATTTACATAAATTTAAATTAACTGAATTCTTTGTTTAAAACTTCTTATAAAAATATAGCACGTAAATTATTTATCTAATTCTACTATTATTACGTATTTATATAAAATTTGCATATAATTAAATTCTTTACTATTTAAAAAATTGTTTAATAATATAGGGAGTAAGTTATTTATTTGATTACATATTTATAAAGTATTCACATATAATTTAAGCTAACTAAATTTTATTTAAAAATTATTTAATAATGTAGAGGGTAAGTTATTTAATTCTATTATTACATATTTGTAAAATATTCATATGTAACCAAACTCTTTATTTAAAAATTGTTTAATAATATAGCACGTAAGTTAATTATTTAATTCTATTATTACTTATTGTTATAATATTTGTATAATTTAAACTAACTAAGTTCTTTATTTAAAATTACTTAATAATATAGCACGTAAGTTATTTGTTTAATATTTATGTAAATTTTTTATATAATTTAAATTAACTAAATTCTTTGTTTAATAATATAGCACGTAAGTTAATTATTTATATTATTTACATATTGATTAAATCAACTAATAAATTCTTGACTTAAATTATTTGGAAATTTATTTAGGACGTAAGTTATAAGTTATTTATTTAATTCTATTTTTATTGTTACTACATAATTATTTAATATTTGCACATAATTAAACCAATTAAATTCTTTGTTGAAAATTATTTAATAATATAGGAAGTAAGTTATTTATTTAAATCTATTATTACACAATTATACTACAATTTAAGCTAACTAAAATTTATTTAAAATTATTTGGTAATTTATTTCAGTTGGTAAGTTATAAGTTATTTATTTAATTCTATTATTATATAATTATATTATATTTACATACAATTTAAATTAACTAAATCCCTAACTAAAACTTATTTGTAATTTATTTTAGTTGGTAAGTCATAGTATTTACTTAATTTATTATTGCATATTTTTATATGATCTATATTTGCATATAATTTAAACTAAGTTCTTCATTTAAAAATTATTTAATAATATAGGAAGTAAGTCATTTATTCAGTTTTGTTATATACTTATAAATATTCACATTTAATTTAATTAACTAATTTTCTTATTTAAACTTTAATTAACAATATAGAGGGTAAGTTATTTATTTAATTATATTATTATATATTTTATCCTATTTGTATAATTCAAACTAACTAAATTTTATTTAAAATTATCTGATAATTTATTTTAGATTGTAAGTCATAAGTTATTTATTATTTATTTATTTAATATAATTTAAATTAACTAAATTCTTAATTAAAAAATGTACTATTTGTAATTTATTTTAGTTGGTAAGTTATACTACTGTATTTATTTAATATTATTACATATTAATATAATATTTACTTATAATTACTTTTTTAAAACACTATTTGTAATTTATTTTAGTCGGTAAGCTATAAGTTATTTATTTAATTTTTTTATTATTATATATTTACATTACATGTAATTTATTAAACTAACTAAATTTTTATATAAAAAATTATTTAGATAGTAAGTTATATTTGATTCTATTATTACGTATTTACATAACATTTGCATGTAATTTAAACTAACTGAATTCTTTACAAAAAAATTTGATTTATTTTTAGTTTCTTGTAAGTTATTTTTTATTATGTTATCTATATAATATTTATTTATAATTTTAATTAACTAAATCCCTATTTATAAAATTGTAATTTCAGATTCTTGTAAGTTATTTTTTATTATAATAGTTATTGTGATATTAATTTATTGTTTTAACTAACTACACTCTTTATTAAAAAATATCTGATACTATAGTTGGTAAGTTATAATAATAGTTTATTATATATATACATTTATACAAAAACTTAGTTTTTATTTTGTTTTATGATATTTCTAATTATTGAATATTAGGGTTAGTAATTAGTATTAATTTTTTAATCTTATTTTGTATAATTTAATATGATTTCTAATGATTTACTTACTTATTTAAATATAGATTTGGAAATAGTGGAAATGCAATTTTAAATAAGTTTATTTTTGAAAAAAGATTAAAATGGATTCCTCATGATAAACTTAAAAATATTAAATATCTTGATAAAGGAGGATTTGGTACAGTATATAAAGCTATTTGGTTAAATGAAAAACAAAATAAAGAAGTAGTTCTTAAATGTCTTAATAACTTGAATGAAAATTTAAATGTATTTTTGAATGAGGTATGAGTATGAATTTAATTTTAATTATAATTCACTTAAACTAATTATATTATATATGTTGAATTTTATTTTATAGTGGAAATATCATGAAAGTTGTTTAAATTCACCTGATATTATTGATTATTATGGATTTACAAAAGATCCGGATACTTTAAATTATATCGTCATAATGAATTATGCAAATAAAGGTAATTTAAGAGGAAATTTAACTAAAGTAGTTAAATATAATTGGAAACAAAAATTATTCATGTTGTATAAAATTATTTCTGGGATTTATGAAATGCATAATCAAAAACTTATTCATTGTGATTTACATGATGGTAATATTTTAAATCACAATAATAAAATGAATGGAGTGGAGGGAAAAAATGAAATTAATTGTGATTTAATTTTTGTTAGTGATTTAGGATTATGCCAACCTGTAAAGTCATCTTTAAAAAAAGGAGATATTTATGGGGTTATACCATTTATAGCACCTGAAATTTTAAGAGGCAAGCACTATACTTTAGCTAGTGATATATATAGTTTTTCTATGATTATGTGGGAATTTACATCTGGAGTTCCACCATTTAATGATAGAGCACATGATCTTCAACTTAGTTTAAGTATTTGTAGAGGTGAACGTCCTGAAGTTATTGAAAATACTCCACAATGCTATATAGATTTAATGAAAAAATGTTGGGATGAAAATCCATTAAAAAGGCCATCTGCGTCAGAAGTGAAATATGCTATTGGAAATTGGATTTTCCGTCCTGATTATTTTAGTTATGAATTACAAGAAAACATTAAGGAATTTATGGATGCACCAATTGAGCATAATAATCTTGCTAATGAATCTCATTCACAAGCATGCTATACAAGTCGCTTACTTGATTTTACTAGTGGAAAATTGAATGAAATCATAGCAAATGAAGATTTGGATGATTGTAAAATTTGATGGTTAAAGTCATTAGGTATGTAATACTTGTATATTACGAATAGAAAAAGTAAATAACGAATTATTTTATGTGATATTGATTTATTTATTTTATTAATTTTAGATATTAAAACATAAATATTTTTTTGAAATGTATGGTTTCTAGGTGATATTATTTATTTTACATTTTGCAATCCTTTATTTTATTTTATTAGAATTATTTAAACACTAAGACTAGAGTAGTAAAATGTCTTACAAGTTTCTTAGTTTGTAATTTAAATGATTCATTCTCTTTTTTTTATTTTATTAGAATTATTTAAACACTAAGACCAGAGTAGTAAAATATTTTATAAATTTCTTAGTTTGTAATTTAAATAATTCTTTTGATTTTTATAGTAAATATAAATTATCAAATTTAATTTTAATATCATTAAAATTATAATAAATACACTTAAAATTGCTTGACTAAACAATAAAAAAGTGAATTTATGGACTTTCCTCCATGTGAAAAATATCATGCATAACACCATGCTGTTCTAGTCCTGTCAATGAGCTTATATTTATTAAGTTTCTTACATCAAATTTTGTTATAACTTAACGAACCATCCGCGAATGCTGATGCAAATCTTTATGGAATGAGCGTGAAAAGATTCCACCATCGTCACTATCAAAAGCATTATTTAACTACAATTAACAAAGATTTTCATGAAAATATGACAAAGCTCACGAAACGTGAAACTAAAACCAAAGATTTTACTTTATTGAACAAAGAAATGAACAATTTTATTAAAAACTTTCCTAATTTTTTTGTTCTAATTCAAGTTTAAGCCAGTCTGGGCGAAGTTTTTTCTCATATAGATTCATAAAGGTAAACCAAACTCGGGGCCCTGGTGCTATGATTTTCCGTTATCAGAATATATAGGATCTTTGGGTATAATTCACAGTATTTAAAGGGTATAAACATGTTTGGTATAGGATTGAAAGGTCTTCCAGTTCAATTTTTTGACGAGTTTGTCTTTCAATTTTGTCCAGTGAGGCTCCGCCTTTCTAGATACTTCCTCTATGCTTTCAAATACTTTTGATGAAATGAGCTTTGTTAGAAAGTTTTTTGACATCATTCCAAACCAATAGATACTCAAAGTTATTTAAAAACAGTACCTTGCGTAATGCCTTGCAAAACACCTGCTTTAATATAATTTCTTGTTTGAGAGGTAAAGCATTGACCTTTTAACTACCTTTTTTTTTAAATAGTTTTATTTTTACCGGATAGTACTATTGTTGTTTTTTATTGGTCATAGTATAGAACAGGATTCCTTTTATAACAAGTGAGGGTCTGGTTTTCTTACTAGATGATAGCTGTTCTGCTGTAGAGCTGCTATATTTTCTTTGAATGTATTATAGTAGTTTTACTTAGACTGCTGCCTGCTTGACATAAAATAAAATCCTTGAAAGAAAAAGAAAAAAAAAGTAATGCTAAAAATATTACAAAAAAAATAAATAAAGAATTATTTTCTACCTAAAATCTAATTTGCAATTTTCGTCTGGAACTCTTTATAAAAGAAGAAAAAAAGAAGATAAACTACTTTACAGAAACCTTCAATTTTTCTAAATATGTTTACAATATCTTTACAATATAACAGACACATCACTTTAGTATTTCTGTTATTTTCGTTCTAACTATATGCTTACAATATGTAGAAAATATTACATGAAAAATCTGACAATCATATATCAAAAATATGTTTCGGATTTATATATTATATGACAATCACATATCAAGCATATATTATAAATATAATTAGTATATTATTTTTATATGGTAAAAATACATGATTACTCTTTTTATAACTATTATATATCTAATATATGTAAATAATATTGCAAAATTATGTAAATAATATAATAATTACATGCCAAAATATAATAACAGTAATTAATAATAATATGCCACAAAGTTATATGTCGTCAAAAATTTGTTTCTACCAAAGCCTTACGTGTTCAAATACTCAAAAAACTTGTCATCTAAAAAAAAGTATATGAAATGTTAGTGGTCATTTCATTCAAAAGAATTAGTTCAAAATAAAAGTAAAAAATTTACCAGATCTTCCACTTGCCCAAGCACTTAAAAACCAGCTATCTACAAAAAAAATATGTAACATTAGTAGCTGTTTCGTTCAATAAAAAAATATTAAAAATTTTACTAACGTCTACTCCAAAGACTGAAAGATACGCCTAAAAAAAGAATTAAGAAATGGATTGTAAGTAAAGTTGTTAAAAATAAAAAAAAGTTAATATTCTAAAACTTTACCTTTGGGATTTCAGTATCCAAATTAGAGCCAATTTCCCTACAAAAAAACAAAGAAGTAATGAATGCTAAAAATAGTTCTTTTTAGTTGAAGTTTCAAAAAATTCATTTTGAAACTCATTTGCAGAGCATCCAAAATTACGACTAGTTACTAGCTTTTAAAAGCCATACTGGCTAAAAATCCAAAAATTAGATGCCAAAACCAATAAAATAAAATATAAAAAATATTAATATTACCTCTTCTTTGTTGAAATTTTCGAATTTTTAAATTTTTAACAAGTTTAATACCTTTGCCAAGTTACCATGCATCCAATATCCGGATAATAAGTTGTTTACAAAAAAATAAACAAATTGTTAGAAATCATTCATTAAGATAATAATAAACAAAATTAAAATTCTACGCGTTTTGACTTCTGAAAGTATCATCTAAAAAAAAAAGAATGTTCCACCAACGTCCAAAGAGCCAAAGAGCTAACCGCCTAAAAAAAAAGAAAAAAATAGAAATTAATAACTATCCTTTAAAAGGTGGAATAATGAAATTTAAAAATATCTTACCAAAATCCCACGCCTTGATTTTGTATTGAAGTTGTGGTTAATTTGGACGTACAGTGCTTGGATATGTTGCCTAAAAAAGAAAAGAACAAAAATATCAGTAATGTTTTGTTAAAAACAACATTAGAAAAAATGTCACTCACCATCCATCAAAGATATTGAAAAGCTGTCTAAACTACAAAATGCAAAACAAAAAATGTTAATTAATGTTTCGTCACATAAAAACCAAAAAGAACATAATTTATGATATACTTTCTAAACATTTTGTTAATATAATCGTTGCTTTTTAGTAATTTTCCAATGGTTATGTTACTTCAAATTTCCGACACGTCCAGTTGTCTAAAAAAAAGAAATTAGAAGTTGTTTTTTAAAGATGAAGTAATTAAATTAGAAATTTAGAATATTATTATGACACTTACTGAAATATTATGTCCAAAAACCAAGAAGTCAAGGAAAAGATAAATAAGGAAGGAAAGGAAAAGGACGAAAAGGGATGGTAAAAGTGAGAGGAAGGGAAAGAGAAATTACAAGAGAGGTAATGGAAAAGGTCAGAAGAAAAGGGAAAAGAAGATACAAGGAAAAAAGGAAAGGATAATTATGAGAGGAAAAGGAAACTACAAGAGGAAGGGGAAATTACGAAAGGAAAAAAAAAGTTTAAGCTTAAACTAAAAAAGATTAAACTTTGACCAGTTGAATTGATAAGCTATGGTTAACAACATTTTATAGTATTTAGCCGACTAATATTATATCTGAATTTTAGCCAAAAACTAAAGTCGTGTTTGATCACGTGATTTTTAATAGTGCAGGCATGATAAATAGATATGTGACAAATAATTTTTCAACTCTCAAAAAAATTCAAGTCCCTGGGATATTATTACTATCGATCTGTGTCAGGGTCACGTGATAGCAACAGAAATTCAAATCGTAATATAAAGTATATATTTATAAATTAAAGCTTATAAACTTTAAAGTATATATTTATTTAAAATAAACTTAAAAATATAATAAATGATACAATGCCAGTAAAATAAAATATAATATATCATTAATATTGCTGCCTCTGCTGGCGATCTGCAATATTACCAATAGCGAAGACTATATCTAAAACTAAACTAAATAAAAACCCAAATCCAAATCCCATCATTCGTTCGTGCTATATATATTGCTCTTTATTTCAGTATAAATTATACTACTAGATATAAATTATACTTCGTATAAATTACATTAGATATAAATTATACCAAGTATAAATTATACTATGTGTAAATTATACTGTTACTCCGCCGATCATTTAGATTACATACGAATTTCTTAGAATTTCAGTGTGGTGCAGATCGGTCACCATTCTGCGTAACAATATATAGTAAAAATGAAAAACGGGCACGATGAATATAATAATGTCATGTGATCAAACACAGCTTTAGACGCTCTCCGAAATCAGTAGTTGATTTTCAGCTGATTTATTATGAGTTCAATTTAGTTGAATCATTACCAGTCCGAGAATTATTGTCCTCATTTCTTTCATTCCAAAAATGTAAATTTATTTTATCCTTTATAAAACAATTTTCCTTTTAGTTTCTCACTTGGGTTATTGATTTTTGCTTAATCCTTTTCATTACTTCTAAAACAAAAAAAAAAAAAAATATTTTTTTTTGTTAATCAAAATTTTCTTTTAATTAAAAGCCAAAGCAAGAAATGTTGTAATCATTTGTATTGTTACTGGAGCTGGAAGAATGATAGAGTAAATTTTAACATATAAATTTAAAACATATAAATTTAAAAGTAAATTTAATGTGTATTTTTTGAATATATCAAACACATCACAATTGTATGTTACTCATACATTACTTATATTTTGTTTTCAATATGAATTTCAGTATATAAAGAACATATCTCAAATGTATTTTAGATATACGTTGATTATATTTTGTTTTTAATATAAATTTTGGCATATAAAGAACATATTATCAATATATCTTAATAATATGTTAACCTTATTTATTTTAATATGCATTTTTAAAATATATCCAACATATTACAATTATATGTTGGTTATACATTACTTATATTTTGCTTTTAATATGAATTTTGGCATATAACAAACATATTTTAAATGTATTTTAGATATGTATTGGTTATATTTAGTTTTTAATATAAATTTTGG